ACCTGGAGTAATTGAGAGAGATCAGCAATTCCATTTTCCTTGAACATCCATGTACATTGTTTCGTGCTGCGATCTGCCTTCACCGAAACTAGCAGCTCAATGCCTCCTACACTTCGATCTCCTATTGCTGCTTTCAGTTACTGAATCTTCAGTAAACTGCAAATACCAATTGCATCAGGAAGAGATAGTTTTACATGAATATGGACCTTGACTGCAGGAAAATAATGACAGTCTGGTGGCAGCAGATCTGGTTAGGCTGATCTGAGGCAACAATCCCCAAAAGGGAGCCGCCCAAGAAAGCAAAGAACTCCTCCCAGGAGTATACTCCATTGAAGGGCGTTAGCAGCTGGATCAGAGCGCTCTCATTAAAAAGATATGTACAACCCCCACCCTCCCATTATAATCATCCTTGCATTTGATAAAGCGCCTTATCACTTGTTATGCTTCACAGGATATTTACTGTAAAGTGTTGTGATCTCACATAAAGTCACAACCCACAGCTAATTTGTACACAGGAATGTCCCACAAACAATGTCTAATAGTACCATGGGATCTTTAATGTCCACCTGAACAGGCAGACAGAACCTTGACTTAATGTCTCAGAGCACAAGCTTAAAGTCCTTACCCAAGGCTTGAACTCCAAATGGTTTGACTCAGAGGCAAGAGTGCTAACAACTGAGCGAGGCTGACACCATTGGGAAGGTGAAAAGAGTGATTTGAACAGCAAGTTGTCCCCTTACATGTGAATTTCCCACTTAGTAGAGCAGGTACACAGTGCACATTATGCAGACAGTACGAGAAGTGAAACAAAAGAATGCTTCTATACAAGATCGCTTAGGTTGTTGTTGCAACACCTATGAGATTAACACGAATCTCAGGGGACCCAACACAAAACGGATTAAGGTTACATAAGAACATAAGAAATGCTGGACGATAAAAAGACCAAAGTCCATCTAGTTCACCTTCCTGGCAGTCGCATGCACATACGCCCCATAACGTTATTTCCTAAAAGAAAACTATCTAATCTGTTTGAAGGAATCAACATTTCAGAGGTTTGTTTAGTCTTCTCAACAATTTTTTTTAAAAAAAGGCAAAGGTCCAGAGCAAAATTATGCTCAGAGGCTGCTCTTGTTTGCTAACTAACCTCACAGGTCACTCGACAGAAACAATTGTTCTTAATGGAATAGCAACCTTCTGACCCCATCTTCCGAAACAATGAGAGTTTCAATTCTACAAGTTGGCAGGCGCGACTGTTGGCAGCACAGAAGCTGTGAAGTGGGAGTACATCCAGTTTCATTTTAAAACTTGCCCACATGCCACAGAGTCCAGCTACCATGTAGCTTTCTCTTTATATCTGACAGAGCTGAGACAAATTTAATGCAATATGAACTGGTGTCAGGCTGCTTACCGTTGGCTGAGGAAATAACTCACATTTTATACAGTGGGTGGAAATGTTATAGGTCAACGGCCTGAAGTGTGAAGTAACCATCAACAACGCCAAAAAAACACTATTTTTGGATTATTTGACCCAAATAATTGTTATGTTAAACACTATGAGTTGTGTATACAATAATAATCATCATCAATAACAATCGAAAAATCCACGACTGCTTGTGGGACACTGCTGTGCGCAACTGGCTGCTGTATTTCGCCTACAAATATACAGTAAATTCACTTTATAGTGTATTCTGTGAAGCGCTTTGAGATGTCTTTGAAGACATTCAAAGCGCTATATCAAATGCAAGATTTATTATTATGTTCAGTTGTGAACAGATTCCGTAGCTGCAATAATAATAATCCTTGCATTGGATACAGTGCCTTATAACGTCGCTGCAACATCTCGAAGCGCTTCAAAGAATATACTGTAAAGTGGAGCGACTCTACAGTATTTTGTGGGCGAAACACAGCAGCTAAATGCGCACAGCAGCGTTTTGAAAAATTCGCTCCACACATTTCAAGAGTCACAAAATGGGGAATTTTATCATTTTTGCTATATCCATGTAGTCCTCTCAAAACTATACTGAACTCCAAATAATTCAAAAGACAGAATTATCAGCATTGCTCCTTATTTTTAACAGAATTATTTCAACAGCTTTGGGGACCTTCCTGGGGTTGGCCATCCAGAAATGGGCTACTGCAAAGGGAGCACTTTATCAACAAGATCCTCTTAGAAGAACTATAAGCTGACAAGATCCGCTTAGAAATTTATAGCAGTAGAGGCCATTCAGCACATCATACTGACTGCATGAAAGAGCTCTGTTCAGTTCCATTCTTGACAAGTCGCCTGATTGCCAGAATTTTAAAATTCTAGCATCGAATATTGAGCCTTTCATGTTGGGAGGATGTTTCAAAGTGATCAAATCATTTGAATTTACTGTGAAGTGTATTGATTCTGTAGCTTGTAGGCAAACAGGTAATGTTCCACAAACAGCTGCAAAAGGAATGAACACATTTTAACAGGGGGAATGGTCAGCCAGGACTCCTGGTAAAGCTCCATTCTCTTAGGACTTTGGTTCAAGGCTCTTATCTGAAGGATGGCACCCCTGACAGTGCAGCACTCCTTCAGCAATGCACTAAGTATCAGCGTGCCAATCAAAGTCCCAGTATGGGAATATTCGCAAAATAAAGTGATAATGAAAAATAATGCGTGCATCTGACATGGCACCTTATCCCATCACTGAGACGTCTCAAAGAGCTTCACAGGATTTTACTGTGAAGTGTAGTAATTATTTGCAAGTAAACAGCAACCAATTGGTGCGCAGCAATGTCCCGTGACATGAAGTGAATGACCAATTTGAACGGCCATATGAGACCTTGGCTTAAAGTGGTATCTGAAGGATAAAAATGTTAATAATAAGGAAATTAACTCTAAACCCACTTCACCTGCATCTGAAAAAAGGTGCCACTCAAATAATTAAACCAAGCTAAACTCAGCTCATATCCCCCTAATTAACAGGCTCTTTATAGTACACTGTCACAACCAAACACAGCGACTACCGACACCCAACTCAAGCTGAGCAAAGTTGCTAAAAATAATTCCATTCTATGTTCGACAGTTTCGTTCTGTGCTCCTGCCCCACACACCAGATTTATGAAAAACTGAAAATAAAATCTAACCGATTAAGCTTATATTTCGACTGACTGGAGTGTCAACAGAATGTACCTCAACGCAGACCAAATTTCCTGTCAACTCAGAAATATGGCTTTCATCAGCGGATGTCTACAAGCGCAAGCGTATTCAAGCCCATTGTGAGAAACTGCCCAGATATCTGATAATAGCAAGTGCTGAAAAGCTGCTCTCAAAACATTCCATGAAGAATGAACCCCCTCAGAGGGAGAACAGGTAATGAGCAGTGAGTGCATTTTTCTTGGACCATTGTGTAAGGTTTAATTGCAACTTTTCATAAATCCTGCACCTTTTACAAATCCACATCACAATTTATATTTCCTCACACAGATTGAGTGTACAGAATTAATCACCACAGGATTGATGGTATAATAATATTAATCCTTGCATTTGATGTTCAAATGTAATTTTGTTGTTGATATAGCACCTTATCATGTCTTTGAGATCTCTCAAAGTGCTTCACAGAATATACTGTAAAGTTTTGTGGGTGAAGTGTATCAGCCAAAAATGGAAGAAATTGCCTGTACCGAATTCCCTTACTCTGATAACTAGATTCAAATTCAACACCCTAAACTGTTGGGCTGGACGTACCCAACATTATTTTCTAGATATTCTGTTCAAGTTAAATGAGGAATCACATTAAATGCTTTGTGGAATAAAGTATCTAATCTATGAGCAATGATATAAAAGAAACCTTCCTCAGATCAATCTGATTCAGAAGGACTTCAAGGACAAAATGCACAGTCACTACGCTTTACAGTATATTGTGTGAAGCTCTTTGAGACGTCTCAAAGACGTGATAAGGCGCTATATCAAATGTAAGGATTATTATTATGTTATGTACTGGTTATAGGACTGTTTTATTGGTGGTGTGGAGAGAAAGGGGGCAAGAAATGTTAGAGGCAGTTAGAGAACAGTATTAGAGCTATGGATCATTAAGAGGCACACATTGCTAATAAAGATTCTAGGTGTCTGGTTAAAAAAAAGTAGCCCATTTCCTGTATGCGGTTCTGAGCTAGACTACTGCTGGAAGTGATGTCAAAGACAGGAAGCCTAGCCACAACAGGTCATATCATAACCAAACCCTGGCTACTCGTGCTCAGTAATGCAGCAGATCAACTAGCTCACATCAGGCACCTAAAACATTGATCACGATCACTAACATAGTCTTAGAACAAAACAGTAAACTGAGATTTTCTTCTGCAATAAAACAGCCACAATTAGAATACAATTGACAGAGATTTCACAAATAACAAAAATAAGAGACTGACAAATTACAGAAGTGATAATTAAAAACATGTGAACTATTTCTCATTCTACAAAGAGCTCAACAACAACTTGCATTTATGTAGCACCCTTCATCCCAGGTAGTGTCCTGGAGAGCTTGAAGCTCAAAGCTGACACGAGGATCAAATTGCATCGAATCAGACCCTGAAAACAATCCACAAATGTATCCACCCCTAAAATGACAGAGAGCGTGTGGCTAGGTAGAAGGGCGAGAGATAATCCTGGATGATAAACTGCTGGACACTGTTTACTTTATCATATCCTTTATCCTTGATGACTATCAAAACCATTCTTTCACTTGCCAGCACACAGGAGTAGGGACGAATCAACTAGCTCACAAGCTTGTTTGGCAATTGTATACATACAAAACATTACCTAGTGTTTAATTTGGCTCACTCTACAGCAGAAAGACAAGCCTACCTGCAAATGGCTTTGGGAATAAATTGCTCCCATGCATTTACTATTACTTGGCTTTGACATTACAAGCCATCAACTGACCATGCAATGATAACCAAAATACACACTCAATTATAACAGCCCCGAGTTTATTATGTCTGATTTTTAGGGACACAAAGTTCATACTCACGTGGATGTGATGGTTCGAAACCGCTCCTGACCAGCCGTGTCCCAGATCTGCAATTTTACTTTCTCGCCATTGATTTCCACAGTCCGAATTTTAAAATCTACTCCTATTGTAGTAATGTAGCTACCTGTGGAGATTAGAAACAGAGTGCTCACTGACAGAAGCCATCCCAGCAAGTACAAACAATAAACTCAGGATTAATCTGAATAGTTAGAACTGGAGAGGCGAAATTCATATTGGATCTACACAAATAATAATTTATTAGTAATCTTTGATATAGCACCTCATCATGACTCTGAGATGTCTCAAAGCACTTCACAGAATATACTGTAAAGTGAATTGACTGTACATTTTAAGGGTAAAACGGAGCAGCCAATTACATACGGCAGTGTCCCACAAACAGTCGTGGATTGAATGACCAAATTTTTTTTTTTTTTTTTGAAGGGATTATTACTCCCCGGAAAAGCGATCTGCCAATTGACTAACAACCGGGTCCCTACACTACTGTGGAGTAAGGAAACTTGCCCAAATGCAAAGAAGTATGACAAGATCACATTTAGAGTACTACGTAAGTTTTTTGGTCTCCATTTTAGAAAAGCTATCTAATTATTGGAGGAGTGATAAGGAGTTGACATGTCTGGACGTTAAGACTGTTTCGGCACACATATCTTCCACTTTGAACTTTCACTTTGAAAATCAATGATGTAAGAGATTGGGTAGTGCAGTGGGTTAGATGCATGGTTTCACTTCTGGGAACTGGGTTTGAATCCAGCCAAGGAGGATATAATCATTTGCTCTTTGTCAACTGTAAGGGGCCAAAGAGAGTTACTTTAGACCATTCCTACTACGTGCAAAGTGCAGCATAGTATTAGATTGGGCCAGTAGTTGAAGAATCCACTGATATGATAGTAAAATCTTCAATTGTATCTTATATGCCTTGTGGTATACAGGAGGTGGGTTTGTAGAAACCTATACAAACAGCTTCCTGTGTGTGGGAGCACATTTGAGCAAGCACGCAATAGTGCTGCGCTGTTAGCTTGAGCTGGTCGCTGCAGTGTGCTGAGGAATGGTAAAGATCTACATTTTAAAATCTTTGCAACTCAGAGGACACCAATCAATTACCCCTACTGTGCAATTCTTATAATAATAATGCTTAAGAGTATTCAGGAACTAGACTACCACAGCTATCGCAGAGAGAGAATGATTTGTTTCTGATATTCCTTTGCCAAACATAAAATAATAATAATAGTCCTTGCACTTGATAGCGTCTTTGAGACGTCTCAAGGCGCTTCACAGAATAAACTGTAAAGTGAATTAATTGTATATTTTGTGGGTGAAATGGCGGCTAATTGAGTGACCAAATTCTTCTTCTTCACGGTCAACCAAGAACAAACAAAAATTAGAAACAACAACTTGCATTTACATAGCACCCTTCAGGCAGGGTAGCGTCATAGAGCACTGAACAGAAGGTGGGTTGGACCGAGAAAGGGAGATGGGGCAGACCGAGAAAGTACCAGAGGCATAAGGTACTGACTCAATCATCGGCAAACATTGTTCATATAGGGATGACTTCACTCAACTGTAGTGGAGACTTGAAAACAGCAGGAAAATGAAGGACTCAATCTCTGATCTTATCTTTGGTATGGTACCAGAAAGGTGGCCGTTTGTCTGACGTCGCTTACAGTACTTTTTTTAAAAAACATTTTTTTTACAAAATGTCCTGATCTGGTCCAATTTTGAATGGCACGCAATTTTGGAATGAAATGCACAAAGAGCAATCATTTTAATGCACCTCTGGTATAGATCTAGAGGGGAGGTGTCAATCTTGTGCTTTGCTAGAACTCAAGTTTTATTTCCAGAGATTCCAATTGGTGGAACTGACAGCATACATGAGATTTACAGCTTGATCCCACTCCTCCAGATTATCTGGTTTTGGCCGCTCACTACAGAGAACATAATGATTCCACAATACAGTTGTTCAGAATAGCTCATCATCCAGTAAGTAGTGTCCTGTCACTGTGTGAGCAGAAACAATATAATTCTGGAGCTGGATGAATCAGACAGGAACTGGGGGGGAGGAACACTTCATTTAGCTCATACACATAACGAAAGATAATGTAATAGAATAACTTCAAATCGTACAAGCACACTTACCTGAAAAAGTGTTATCTGCGAATCGCAGTAAAAGACTGCTTTTCCCCACACCTGCAAAACAAATTTAGAACCATCAAGAGAACTATCAAGAGAAATATCAAAGTCCACTTAATACAATGCAAACCTTCGTACCAACAGAGTTAATTGTCTTTTAAACAGTCATTCACTCCCACACCCAAATGTTAAAATGAAAGTACAACTTGATAAGGCAGAGTCAAGAGTAAATGTTCAACAAGCATCAGAACCAAGCACCCGGGAACAGAAACTAAAACAAGGAGCAGAACACCTATAGTCTTTTGCTATGAATCTACTACAATGCAGGAAGCAAAACAACTAGAGGGGAGATGAGAATTTTTTAAATTCTTAATATATAGAGAGAGTTGTCACGGTCTGGAATGCACTGCCTGAAAGGGTGGAAACAGATTCAACAACAACTTTCAAAAGGGAATTGGATAGGTACTTGAAAAGGAAAAAATTGCCAGGATATCGGTGAATGCGACTGATTGGGTGGCTCTTCCAATGAGCCAGCACAGGCACGACGGGCCGAATGGCCTCCGCTGTGATGTAATATTCTATGATTCTATATCAGGAGGGATGGCTGAGTACAGTTGAAGTAGTAAATTTAAAAAAATATATTACTGGTTTGCAAGAGTTTTTTCTGCTATAAGATGAGGGCTGCTACCAACTAAAATGTTTCTGCATCTGGCAACCTCTGCGAGCGCTAAACAGGACCAGAAAAATTATAGCATATTCTTGCTATAATTCTTATTGATTCCTTCCACCCTCCTCCATCAACCGCTTACAGTGCAGCGTGGGATATATTTTGCATAGATTCTTTAGAATTCAACTGATATGATGCCTCAACTCAAGCTATGAAGAGTACCCCCTAACAGAGTAATGCCGTACTTCTAATTCCCCACAACAAGCATCCTTGTGGCCTTTTGAGTGAGATCGCCAATTGTTAATGACTTGAGCACGGGTCGTTTTGTATTGTTGATTTACATTTATAAGGAATTGAGAAGAGCCTGCCCCAAACTCTGACTCCTTCAGCTAACACACAAAAATGAATGTTTTATCCTATTAATGCGGAATGAACTTGAACGCAAATTCAAGAATTAAATTTACCAGTTTCCAACGGAATGAATAGCAAAACATTACACTGAGCAATTCAACCACTGCAGTAATAACAGGCAAAACAAGAGATGACTTGCAGATCACAAAGCACAATGTGCTATTCCAAGGCCATGAGTGTAAGTGGATGCGAGTCGTGATGTTGGGAATAATTTCATTTGAGGCTGGCAACTACCAATACTGCAAATACACAGCCACGTGGACTAGTCATGCGTTACTGTGTAGTGACCGCCAACTTTTAATTTAGATGCCATTATTTTCTAGCCATTCAAAGTGCAAACTGGTCCTGACTACTGATGTGTGCAAATATAAATAAACTTTGCTCAAGTTAAATAAGTATGCTCTCTGTCAGAATTACTGTACACATACAAAACAATCACTACATGTCACAGCAAAAACTCTGTGAAACTCTTAAAGACATTTCTGCTCACACTGAACGCCTTCGCTCAGCTGGCACGTCTGCTGCACGTTCCTAAACCCTTCCGCTCCACAACTGGCGGATGCACTTTCAGCCACTATGTCCTGAATCTCCGGAACTCTTTGCCTTAATTCCTCAGTCTTGCCCATCTTCAATCACCTGAAGATTTTCCTCTACATCCGTGCCTTCAGTCACCTCCCTCCTTTCCAGTTCATTGTCGAGCCACACCCGCTGTTAAACACTCCGAGATGCCACCCACGTGAAGGGTGCTGTATAAATGCAAATAGTTGTGTTGACAAAACGCTAAGACACTATATAAAATGCAAGGATGATGATTATTAAGTTACAAGTATTTTAGGGGTCATCTTAGGAAAAAGGGGACTACCTGAGATTATTCCATGGAGAGGAGGAAGTGGGAGGGTGGGGAGAAGAAAGCAAAAGAGGCTTAAGAGAGACAATATACAGTACTAAGAGAAAGGGTATGTATCATCAAGCCCTTCCAAGGAAGAGATTATGCAAGGTTTGTGTCAAATTGTTTACTCCATTTCTGCTGGCAAAAATTTTAAAAGGCTACTTTATATAGCCTGAAATTTACAATAATTCCAGACATTAGAACAACAAATATCCTCTTTATTCAGTTTAGGGAAGTATATTCTACTGCAGAGTCACTGTCACGTTAAGTTTAGATAAGGTACATATATGGCTTTCCTCATTTTCAAAATTATTTTTAAAAAATTTGCCTAAATATATACAATATGTTCAATCACTTCTGCGATCTACTTTGAGGAGTCCTCCTGACATGAAAGAAGCTATATCAAATGCAAGGATTATTATTTTAATTAACCTCCACATGCACAAACATCCCACTGAAACTGGGGTGGGAGGGGGGGAAAATACCCTTTAATAAGGTCCCTATAAACAGCTTTAGACCACTAAGCACTTTGAGATGTCTCAATGACGTGACAAGGCGCTAGATCAAAAAGCAAGGAATATTTTTTTTACACAATTAACACCAACAAAGTTTGCACTTTACAGCAAAATAAACTGAAGGTCCAAGAGTTCAAAGTGTCTTCACCCACACCTATCCCACTTCGTGACAAACAGGTGAGCGGCCAGTAGGCCACAAACAGGGTTCTCAGGTCCCTGCTGGCCACGCTGCCCTCCCCATTAGGAAGGCGGCACGTGAGAAAATCAAAACCATAAGCCCACATCAAAACAATTCATCACCCAAGTTGGTCCAGGGCCAAACAGAAGTTGTGCTCCTCACCCTGCATAAAACAAAAGCACATTTTCCAGCAGGGCTCAGCAAACACTCTGCTGATTTTTTGTTTTTTTGTGTAAAAAAAGGAACAGTAATAATTTGGCTATTCAATCCACAACTGTTTGTGGGTCACCGCTGTGTGCAATTGGCTGCCGCGTTTCGACTACAAAATATGCTGTCAATTAATTTTATAGTATATTCTGTGAAGCACTTTGAAACGTCTCAAATACATAATGAGTCACTATTTCAAATGCAAGGATTATTATTATCTCCTGTAATGTAGAGGTTATGAATTGAATACACTTGCTCCAAACATTCCACTTTCAGCCTCTCTAATGCACTGAAACAAGCAACGATCTTCCTCCTCTCACCTGTGTTACACGTCAAGACAAACAGCAGTCCTGGCTGAATTCTATAAAATACTTTAGAAAGATCCGAATCAAAATGTGAATTAAAAGCACTAATAGTTATCGTTCCCCAACCAAAGTTATTTCTCACAGTCATTTAATTTTAATTCCTGGAATGAAACCCATTATTACTCTAGGTTTTAATCAGCGATACACAATTGGAGCTCATCAGATACAGCTTCTAGAATTTAGAAAGAGGAATTCCTTATCCGTCATAGTTGAGACTGATTGTTTCCTGCTACCAGGTACACAGTTTAGCCTATGGGTTGCACCCTCCCTGGTTTTGGATGGACCAAGATATCATGGGATACAAAACAAATCATTATTTGAAATAAATGAGCAATAATAAAAAGTATTCCATTTCATTAACTTGCCTTTCTCACGAGTAACATCTCAGAGCACTTAAAACAATTTCAACACCATGTTTCAGAGAAGCTGCAGTTCTGCCGAATTCAGAGAAAGCAGCTCATTTAAAAACATGGAACAGGATTTCCTGTACTGCACCATGTCATCAAAGCCCTTTTAAGTTCCATAACTCTGTCCTCAAAGGACTAAAGGAAAAGAAATTCCTTGTCCTGTAATCTAGCAATCTAACATTCTTTGTAGCTACCACTGGTGTGATGGCATTCTTCATCAGATAATCTCTCGCAAGAGTCAAAAATGTCTCAAAGCAGCAAGTAATATCATGTTTTGAACCATACTTTTGTCACAAACACACCCCAGTGGCATAGGTTTCTGCACAATCACAACCATGTCCGATTAAACTGGCTTTGGCGCCATGCCGCATTTCGTCCACAAAGTATACAGTCAATTCACTTGACAGTATATCCTGTGAAGCACTTTGAGACGTCTCGAAGACATGACAAAGCAGGCGCTATGTTAAATGCAAGCATTGTTATTATTATTATAACCAACTTCATCACTTAAATAACTGTACAAACATAATATATATATAAAAAAACATAGTAACTGGGCAAAAGTCACCGTCAAACCACACAAAATGTGCGAAAAACATTACGACAAAAACCTTGCAGCGTTGATCCTCTACGTGTACAGTATAGTAAGTACCACCTCACTTCAACTCTCAGCCTCAGTCAGTGACCAGGCAACGCACTGACGTATTGTTGTACTTTCCCTTCGCTGCTCCTTGAGCTCCCCCCCCGCCCCAACACCCCTCCCCACCCCCACATCCCCCCCCAACCCCACACCCATCCCCACGTCCCCCAAACACCCATTCCCGTCCCCCCCCAAACACCCATCCCCGTCCCCCCCAAACACCCATCCCCGTCCCCCCCCAAACACCCATCCCCACCGACCCCCCCAAAACACCCATCCCCACCGACCCCCAAACACCCATCCCCACCGACCCCCAAACACCCATCCCCACCGACCCCCAAACACCCATCCCCACCGACCCCCAAACACCCATCCCCACCGACCCCCAAACACCCATCCCCACCGACCCCCAAACACCCATCCCCACCGACCCCCAAACACCCATCCCCACCGACCCCCAAACACCCATCCCCACCGACCCCCCAAACACCCATCCCCACCGACCCCCAAACACCCATCCCCACCGACCCCCAAACACCCATCCCCACCGACCCCCAAACACCCATCCCCACAGACCCCCAAACACCCATCCCCACCGACCCCCAAACACCCATCCCCACCGACCCCCCAAACACCCATCCCCACCGACCCCCAAACACCCATCCCCACCGACCCCCAAACACCCATCCCCACCGACCCCCAAACACCCATCCCCACCGACCCCCAAACACCCACCCCCCAAACACCCATCCCCACCGACCCCCAAACACCCACCCCCCCCCCAAACACCCATCCCCACCGACCCCCAAACACCCATCCCCCCAAACACCCCACCCCCCCAAACACCCATCCCCACCGACCCCCAAACACCCATCCCCACAGACCCCCAAACACCCATCCCCACCGACCCCCAAACACCCACCCCCCCCCAAACATCCATCCCCACCGACCCCCAAACACCCATCCCCACAGACCCCCAAACATCCATCCCCACCGACCCCCAAACACCCATCCCCACAGACCCCCAAACACCCATCCCCACCGACCCCCAAACACCCATCCCCACCGACCCCCAAACACCCATCCCCACCCCCTTCCCGGAACTCTTCCTCAATGCCTTCCCCTCACCCCCCCCTGTACCCGGGAGCTCATCCTCACCCCCTCTCTCTCCCCTGAGGGGACCTCACCCCTACCCGAGGCCTTCACCCTCACCTCACCCTCTCTCTCTCTCCCGCCGCCGCCTCTGAGCTGACACTCACCCCTCAGCCCCAGTGAGTCTCCATTTTAATTACAAACCGTCGCCCGACCTCATTTACTCGTCTAAGAAGCAGGAAACGCGCTGCTCAGTCAGACAGGCGGCCGCTCCGCTCCGCTCCACCCCTCCCTCCCTCCCTTTGCTCCCGCTAACCCTGAGGGAACACCCGGCCTTGCTTCAACTCCAGCGCCGGGGCCTCGGCCTGTTTCCTGCCGCCGCCGCCCGGCTCCCTCCTCCCTCCCTCCCGGCCGTCGCTCCGCAGCTCCTTACCGCTGTCCCCGATGATGAGTAGTTTAAAGAGATGGTCGTAATCCCGGGCCATGACGGCGAAGCGAATGGGGGGAACGGCAGCAACGCTGAGCTTCTCAGCTCTGTCGGTGTGTGTCGGTGCTCAGCCCTTCTCTCAGGAGTATCTGCACAGGGCGGGCGGGCGGCTGCGTCTGTCCGCGTCCCGCTGGGCTCGGCCCTTTCCGTACACGTTCGTTCATTTCCGACGCCGGTCCGCTCCCAGGCTGTCTCCGGCTCGGCTATTTCCGGCAACGCTCGGCTCTTTCCGGCTTCGCTTGTCCAATCTCACCGGGCTCGCTCGGGTATTTCCGGAAACTCTCGGCTCTTTCCGGCCTCGCCTGTTCCCGACATCTAACCGGGTTCATTCGGCTATTTCCGGAAACGCTCGGAGCCACCTGTGTTTCCACCCCACTGCCCTGTCTGTCAGTCAGTCTGTCTGTCCCCAGACCTCTTCAAGCCTCTCCATCCAACCTCTGTGGAATTAGTTACAAGGGCAAGTTCTCCTTACTCACCCCTTCTGAATTGATGACTTGAAAACTTAACAACTCGTCAGAACATAAATAATAATAATAATCCTTGCACTAGATCCTATATTTTCACCCACAAAATACAGTCAATTCACTTTACAGTATATTTCTGTGAAGCGTTTGGAGACGTCTCGAAGACGTGATAAGGCGCTGTATCAAATACAAGGATTATTATTATTATTGATATAAAGCCTTATTACATCTGCGAGACGTCTCAAAGTGCTCCACAGAATATACTGTAAAGTGGAGTGACTATATTTTGGGGGCAAAACGCGGCAGCCAATTGCGCAAAGTAGTATCCCCAATTGAGTGACCAAATTATTATTAAATTATGTTATGAAGCTCCTTATATTAACATGGATAACAACAACAAAATTACATTTGTAAACTGCCTTTCATGTCGGGAGGATGTCCCAAAGCGCTGAACAGTTGGGGATCAGGACCCAAGCGTGAGGAGGCAGGGTTGGGATGAGGGAGGGCAAAGCGGTAGGAGGGTACAGCTGAAGGCACAGTCGAAAAGGAGGGTCTTGAGTTATGCCTTGAAGGAGACAATGCAAAGGGATTGTCATGACCCAACTGTGCAGCGCCTTGGGACGTCCTCCTGACGTGAAAGGCGCTTTATAAATGGAATCTTGTTGTTGTTGATTGTGGGATGGAGTTCCAAAGGGTGGGGGCAGAGAGGCTGAAAGCCCGGCCGCCAATGGTAAGGCAGGTCGGGCAGGAGACATGGAACAGGCTGGAGCCTGCTGAACGGAGGAAGCGGACAGATTGATAGGGGGTCAGAGGGGGCAAGCCCTTGGAGGGTCTCGAAAGTGAGGACGAGGATTTTGAATTCTATCCTCTGAAGGACGGGGAGTGAGTGGAGCCGGGCAAAGGTGGGCTGATGGGGTCTCAGAGCCTGGTGCAGGAAAGGACACGAGCTGCAGAGTTCTGCATGGTCTGCAGCTTGTGGAGGGAAGAGTTGGGGGCCGACAAGGAGGGAGTTTCCGTAGTCAAGCCTTGAGGTGCTGAATGCATGAATGAGGGTTTTGGGGCCTGAGAGGTGAAACGGTGGGCGAGTCGGGCACTGTTGCAAAGGTGGGGGAAAGCAGAGTAGGTCATGGCATGGATATGGGATAGAAAGGACAGTTGAGGGTTTAACAAGATTCCCAGGTTCCTGACTGGCTTGGTGAGGTGGAGCGTGCATCGTGGATGCTGATGCTGCCAGTGCCTGAGGTGCGGAGGCACTGGTGCGAGCCAATGAGGGCCTCAGTCATGCTAACATTCAGTGTAGAAAGTTGGCTCTTATTCAGGATTTGATGTCAGACAGACAGTCTGTCAGGACGTCAGTTGTCTTGGAATCGAGGGTGGAGGCAGATAGAGTTGGGTGTCATCCGCGTACATGTGGACATTGACCCCATGTCTGTGGATGATGTCACCAAGGGGGAGCTTGTAGAGGTTGAAGAGGAGGGGATTGAGGACAAAGCCCTGAGGAACACCACACAAGACTTTGCGGGGGCTGGAAACCATTGGCGGAGACAAATTAGAAATGGTGTGAGAGATAAAGACCTGACCCATCCAACCTTGAAGGTTGCGGTGGAGGAGAATGGAGTGGTCCACGGTATTGAAGTCAGCAGAGGACGAGGAGGCAGAGGGAGCCCTGGTCACAGATGGGCAGGATGTCGTTTGTGACCTTGACCAGAGCAGTTCTGTGCTCTGCGCACTGGAGCTGGGGGTTGGATGATAGGGGGAGTGGGGGTGGGAGTGCGGTTGAAGGCACGCATAGTTAAAAGATTTCACAAGATGCGGATATAGAAAGCCCTTTGGCACATCTAATCTCATACCCTTCCTGAATGCCCAGCGCACCCAACCCACATCATAGCATCAAATTGGTTTTTTTAAACAAACCCAGTGTCTTGGTCTCCACCACCTTTCCTGTCACCCTGTTCCAGTCTTTAATTATCCTCTGAGCAAAGAGTTTCCTGGTGCCTGTCCTGAAATTGCCCTTTACAACTCTCAACCTATGTCCTCATTCTACTGTCTTGGTGCATCCTAAAGTATTGTTCTGGGCTTACGTTTTCAATCCCATTTCAAATGTTAGAAATCTCCATAAGATCCCCTCGGAGTCGTCATCTCTCAACACTGAATTGTTTTGATCAACCTGTGGAAAGCTCCTGCTGTGCAACCTGGAGCTGGCAGGTACAGCATTTCCCTCTGCCAATTCCGATGAGACTGAAGAACACGTACAAGACCCTGAAAAAGGCTGGTCAAAATTTGGATCATTAAAGTGCCGAGAGCCACAGAGCATATAGATATTAGTTAACTATTTGACTCAGATCATGAAAACAGAAAGAGGGAACAGGGAAGTACTCATGATACGCCCGAGTCCTGAATCATGAACCGGAAGCTAAATGGTTTGGCTAAAACAGGGGAAAAGCATTGCTACACTAATACACTTGCTACAGAAATGTTAAAACAAACATTAAAAAAGGGGAACAGAATCTTATTATAATAATAATTTGGTCATTCAATCCACGACTGTTTGTGGGACACTGTTGTGCGCAATTGGCTGCCATGTTTCCCCCACAAAATATAGTTACTTCACTTTACAGTATGTCCTGTGAAGCGCTTTGAGACGGCTCGATGATGCGATAAGGCGCTATATCAAATGCAAGGATTATTTATTATATGAATCAAAGCCATAATTGCCATCAATAACAGGAGAAAAACAACGGTTCCAGAACATCTCTAGGTGTATGACTGAGTGCGTCGATGTGGAAATACTGAATTCTGTGAGAGGGTTAGCACTGTGTGACCGTTCCTGCTCTATTCAAATTTGCCTCCTGGTTAGTGCACAAAGGATATGCGTTTACTCTGGGAACATTCTGTAGTTTCCTACTCTATTGATCATAGACACTGTGTGTGTGTGTGTACAAAACAAGCTAATATTGGAACAGAGATTGAACGCACAACGTAAAGTTCACAGATTTTTGACTTATTTAAGTCTTTATTAAACGATTACTTTTTTGAAAGTCTGTGTACTTCGCCACTCTCTGGCCCATTGAATCGAGGTCCCTGTACTGCTGTTAATGTGATCACAGGCAGTCATTTCTTCATTACATCACAAACACCACGATTCACTCTCCACACAAACCCAATTTCAGCACAGGATGCTGCAGAAACAATCAAGGAGGTCCTGTCCAATGGCAACAGCATTTTCAAACAAAATTAAACAAACTTTTGACATGAAGCTGATGCTAGAGGCTTTGGGATTCTTTCCCGTCATGTTAGGATGGTGTCATCGATGTGTTCTGTTGACTCTGGCTGGCTGGCAAGTTTCTTCAGAGATCGCCGGTAGCTCTCAGCTAGTAAATCCAGACTAGCGGTATCAAGAATTTTGGACACATTCTGGAGAGGAAGGGAAAGAGTTCACATGACTTTTGTTTCTATTTTACTCATATCAAACTGTACCATCTAGTGATAAGAGCTGGAAACCTCAGTAATTACAACAAAATTCATACAAAAATCAAGTATACATCACAAGTTAAAGGTTTGAAAAAAATGTAAATCACGGCTTCTTAGGTTTTTACATTTTCTGAAATTTCAATGGATGGTCATGTTTGCCACTCTCACTTTCACTATAGACCTATTTCTGTATCTGCACCTGAGCTCTTCTGAAAGCAAGCAGCAGACTGACATAACGAGGAATAACAAATAGTGAACTCTAAACTCACTAGGTTAAGAAGAGGTCAATAATAATAATATTATTAATAATAATCCCTCCAAAACTAAAAACAATTAAATTGGTCATGTTCAATCTACGACTGTTTGTGGGACATTGCTGTGCGCAATTGGCTGCCGCGTTCGCCCACAAATATACAGTCAATTCACTTTACAGTGTGTTCTGTGAAGCGCTTTGGGACGTCCTCCCGACGTGAAAAGCGCTATATCAAATGCAAGGATTATTATTATTATTAATCTAGGAAAAAATTTGAGGAGATTGAATAACAGAGTTCCATATCTGGCACGTCATGTTACGAACCATGCCTCAGCGGAATCTGAACGGGTTGATCAATACTGAATTCGGGCAGGTTGGAGAATCACGGTTTCTTCAGCCAATATAGAGATACCAGAAGTGTTGTTTCAATCCACATGTTGTGATTAATACATTGTATGAGAGGAAACAATGTGTGAACCATTCCTCCCCTCATCCCCATGACACTGAAATACATCTGATGTCATGACTCGATTCTCAAAATTCCTAAAAAGAATCTTTGGCTGCCTTTCCTTTGGAAATCTGCCATGTTTCTCTTACAGCATTTTGCCTGTCAAATGTCAAACAAGGTGTCACATGGCCAAGGTTAATGAATAAAGGTGGCTCTGGATTGAATTGAAACAAGCAACAATAACAAAATTACATTAAACTTCATGGAGACCTTTTGATATCATTATAAAAGGCATTTACAAAGTGCCAATGGGAAAATAGAGGTTGGTATTTCATCCAGAACAAATAATAATAATCCTTGCATTTGATATAGCACCTTTTCACGTCTTCAAGATGTCTCAAAGTGCTTCACAGAACACACTGTAAAGTGAATTGACTGTATATTTTGTGGCCGAAAGTGTTCAGATGGGGCGGTGAGGAAGAAGGTTCAACTTACTTGGTTCTTGGGTGGTATCAAACTCCTGAATCTAATGTTCCTGGTTATTTCTGTACATTTCATAACGGGTGAATGAAGAGAAGGAGGAATAACTAATATAAGTGGACATTCACATACCTGATAAATCTCTTCACCTTCTCGTAACCTGAGCAAGCTGACAATTGCCTGTTCACTGTACGCTCTCACGCTGGTGTTTTTGTCCTTTGTATTGTCCAGTAAGGCTTTCAGAATTGGCTTGATGGTCTGAATTTCAAGAGGCTGTAAATTGTCTTTGTTCACCAACCAGATCATTTTCTCTGCTATGAGTTTCAGATCGCTGGCTGAGTTCTGCAAGCTCTGCATGGTTAAGTGAGAAGCGTCAAGAAACTGGAGCACAGAGACAGAACATTTTATCCATACAAATAATATTTTTTTAAAAATCCTTGCATTTGATATAGTGAGACGTCTCAAAGCGCTTCACAGAATATATTGTAAAGTGAGTTGACTGTATATTTTGTGGCTGAAATGCAGCAGCACAGCAGTGACAGTCGTGGATTGTGTGACCAAATATCTTATCTGGGCACATTTTGTTTTCCAAGTCACCACCTCAAATCCAATTTCTGCATTGGATACATATCCAAGGAACAGAAGAATCCCAGGGGCCCATAATCCACACCCAGATAATACCCCATTCCATATCCCACCCACTGCTTTTACTGCCTCTCTCTAAATGTCAGCCACCCAGGTCTTCCGACTCCCAGCGATGAACCGAATTCCTCCCCTTCCAGAGGAGGGCCGTTCAAGCACTCAGCATGAGGTTCCACCTAAACATTTCTATTTTTCAACACAAAAATTTTCAATTCTTTAAATAAACGCATCGATAATCTTTGCATAATCCAGCGTCTTAGAACGTCCTCTCGACATGAAAGGCGCTACACAAATGTAATGTTGTATTGTATTATATATTCCACACATTACGTCAAAACATCTCAAAGCCCTTCAGTGTTCTGAAATGCATTTGTAGGTGAATGCCGCAGCCAATATTATACAGGAATGTCCCAAAAGCAGCCATGAAGTGATTGACCAATTTTACCAGGAGGACTGGTGACCAGGACACTGGGAGAAACTCCCTTCTTGATCAGTGCCACAGGATTGTCAACATCGATGTACATGTAGCTGGAACGTCGATTTAACACCTCAATCCAAAACGTCTCTGACAATGCAGTGCTGCCGCAGTCTAGATGATGAGATCAAAGTCCTGACATGAACCCACAACTTTCTGATTGAGAGGTGACATGTGCTACCCAAATGAGTGAAACTAACACCTTTTAACATGACGACGACACTGCTGTCAGGGGAAAGGTCCTTGTAATTGAATATGCAAATCTTACCTTTACGAGTAGAGAGAGAAGTTTGGGGGATACTGACTCATCCTTTAACTGCATTTGATGTTTCAGCAGGAAACCCATGGCTCGGATTCCACTCATGGCAATAGGAATCTGCATTATAAAACAGAGAGCAAATAAAAGGTCAACTTCTGAGTGAGTTGGATGAATTCTCCATCTCTTAATCAGGGTTTCTGTTCACATCAGACCAGCAGTGTCTCCCAGAATTAAAGCAGAAAGTTAAAGCTGTGTTAACTTCATACCAGGATCTCACCAAAGTAAAATGCTATTGTTGTGTGTTTTATTTACATGGTATGGAGAAGTGTGCCACATCTGAAACATTTACTACGGAAGAGAGAAAACTAAACAATAACTGTTGCAATGAATAAATTCAATGTTTGGAATAAATTCCACGTTTGGCAATTGGGTAAAACTGCACCATCACAAAAACACATTTGTCTCCTGGGTAATATTTGTTGACATGGGTCTGGACCCTTATCATTTTAATCAATACAGGTTCCAGATCAGATACTACAAAATAACTGAGTTGAACACATCTGTGAGAACAAGGGCTGCAGCAAAAGAAAAACAATACATGCAACAACTTTTCCTGTGTGGGCGATTTACTCAGTTAAGTTTAGATCCTTGCATGTCATTCTCAGGTTGTACATTGCTGTGGTCAGATGCGTCTTGATAACTGCATACAGTTCTGATCACAAGAAAATAAGGGGGCTGCCATGGCCCTAGATTCCCCAGTGCAGAGGAGAGCAATGAGGATGATTCCCCAGTGTTAGAGGAATGCGTTATGAGCCATGGTTAGACAAGCTAGTCTTGAAAGGAGGTGGTTTAGTGGGGACCTCATACTAATACTGAAAGAAGTAAACCAAACCCAGATCAACCTTTAGGATGCATCTTGACAGTGGAACAAGAGGACAACAACAATAAGATTCCATTTATAGAGCGACTTTCATGTCGGGAGGATGTCCCAAAGCGCTGTACAGTTGGGTCAGGACCCGAGCAGGGGGGAAATGGTCAGGGTGAGGGAAGGGAGGGGGCAGAGAGTTGAGAGGGGAGCTGAAGGCATGGTCAAAGAGAAAGGCCTTGAGACCGGCTTTGAAGGAGGAAAGGGAGGAGGCGGCAAAGGCACTGGCGGATAGAGCTCCAGAGCCTCGGGGCTGAGAGGCTGAAGGCCCGACCACCGATGGTAGGGCGGTTGGGAAGGGGGATGTGGAGCAGACCGGAGCCAGAGGAACAGAGGGTACGGGCAGGTAGATAGGGGGATAGTAGGTCGGAGAGGTAGGAGGGAGCGAGGCCGTGAATGGCCTTGTAGGCGAGGATGAGGACATAGGTTTAGAGCTGTAAAGGGAAATTTCAGTACAGATACCAGGAAGCTTTTCTTTACGTAGAGGGTAAAGAACTGGAACAAGTTGCCAGGAAAGGTAATTAGAGGCCAAGACACTGGATCTGTTTAAAAAGCAATGGGCAGAAATGGGCTGCCCATGAACATGGAGGTGAACTAATGAGAAAGCTTGGAGCATCAGAGCCAATAACACAGCTGGTAATAGTAACAAATAATAATAATCATTGCGTTTGATACAGCACCTCATCACATCGAGAAATCTCAAAGCACTTCACAGGACACATAACCCTGCCTCCCATTACAATACAAGTGTAGTAACTGTGGGCGAAGTGCGGCAGCCAATCGCGCACAGCGACGTCTCACAAACAGTCATGGATTGAGTGACCAAATTATTACATTTATTTTGAAGGGATTATTACCTCTGGAAAGTGATCCGCCAAATGACTAAAAAGCGGGTTCCTAGTTATTGCTGGCAAACAGAGATCCGTTTGTGTGTGTGTGTGTGTGTGTGTGTGTGTGGAGTAAGGAAACTTGCCTAAGGTTTCACCCTTAGACAAGTTTAGTAAACCCGTTCTTTACCCTGTCTGCTGTAGCACTGGCGATGATCATGTCCAGCACCGTGCTGTTGTACTCAGGTGTGCAAAGCCGTCCGGGAGCTGCTTTCATTGCCACAGAGAGGCTATACTCCGTCCATGTCTCACCATCCAGTCAATACCAGATACATCAGCTGGGGATAAAGGGACAGATTTAAAGTCAGTAGCTGTATTACTGAAATCTAAAATTTTAAACCATAACATTAATCAATAAGTTGCTAGAGATACAGACTCTGTAATACAGATAAACTCTGGGCCAGTTCCGAGCAAACTTGGGCTCTTAACTACATAACTGCCTGACTTCAGCACTGAATTTGTTCTCCCAAAAGAAGGGCCCACTGGATGACTGTGCTTCTTGAGAAGAGCTGAAGGGTCACAGTGCAGGTCACGCCAAGATTACAAAGAGCAGAAACAAGAAAAGCAGTAACGTGACAACAAGCTTGAGTTTAAAAGATTCTATGAGGAAGGGAAGAGGAAGGGAGGTGTTGTCTTGAAATCAATGCAAGAAATAAGAGCAGGAATCAAGGTAATGGGTTTTGATTTGAACAGCGAGGATATTCTGCCAAATGCATTTTGTACAATATTCATCTACGATAACACAGAAAAAGAGAGGAGTGTGAGGACTATGTTTTGATAGAGGAGTATCAAACACTAAAAAGACAGGAGATATTGTACCAGAGACAGGATGGAAGTCAGAAAAATAGAAAATGTTCCAACAATATGCGTCTGGGCTCAAATCTCAGTCTCATTGCTGGGCAGAGTAACTCTTTGTCTTTTGTACGTTATTACCTGACCTGGGTCCTAAATAATAATAATCCTTGCAATTGATATAGCGCCTTATCACATAGAATCATACAATACAGAAGGAGACCATTCTGCCCACCGTGTCTGTGCCGGTTCTTTTAAAAGAGCTTCCAAATCAATCCCACCGCACCCGCGCTGTGGGTCTGTTCTCTTAACTTACCCAAAAGATGCTGTTGTAGAATTGTATTGAGTTCATCATCTGATATGAATGCACACAGCTCCCCGAGACACCCGGCTGAGGCCATGCGAGTGGCATCCTGGTAGAAGAGACAACCATTAACACACGTTATAATAAAATGCAACATCACAGATATTTTCTTATCTTTTGAGGGGTTTAACCAGGTGCCAAACACATGTCGAAACCGGTATCCAACCAGACCGAATATATCTCCACAGGGAAATCTGTGCCATGACTCGCTCTGCCTTCCCCCATCTCCGCAACATTGCCCGACTGCCTCACCCCTCAGACCGCTGAAACCCTCATGCATGTCTCCATTACATCTAGGCTCGACTATGCCAATGCCCTGTTTGTCGGCCTTCCCAACTCTTCCCTCCACAAGCTGCAGATCCTCCAGAACTCTGCAGCCCGTGTCCTCTCCCACACCAGGCTCCGTGACCCCATCAGCCCCACCCTCGCCCGGCTCCACTGGCTCCCCATCCCTCAGAGGATTGAGTTCAAAATCCTCATCCTCACCTTCAAGGCCCTCCACAGCCTTGGCCCCTCCTACCTCTCCAACTTGCTAAACAACCTGCGCACTTCCTCCGCTCAGCAGGCTCGGGTCTGCTCCATGTCTCCCGCCCGGCCCCACCATCGGCGGTCGGGCCTTCAGCTCCTCTGCCCCCACCCTCTGGAACTCCATCCCACATTCCCTTCGCCTCCTAATTCGTGACTATTCAGCGCCTTGGGACGTCCTCCCGATGTGAAAGGAGCTTTACAAACGTAATTTTGTATTGTATTGACCTTTGTCTGAAATGAAAGGCGCACTCTCTCTCTAGATTGCTGAATCCCTCCCTCCCTCCCTCCTTTCCTCCGTGGAATTGCTTCCCCTTTTCGCTAGAAATGCCCTCACTGTCCAGATTGCCATGGATGGACCACAGCGCCTGCTGTGTGACCAGGAGTTTGGAACCATGAAGGAGAACGGTTTGGACATCCGAAGCTTACCCTGCACTGTGACCTAGTCGTGGGAGGGCAGACTGTCTCTCAAACCTATCAACTGCCTCAAAAAATATATAACTTCAGTGGAGGATTGAGCACCATCTTCAGTGTGATGAGCTGAGAAACCTTCTACAGTGCTGCAATCTCTATGGTAGCTTTGGTTTCTGATGGTAACAAGCCATGGAGTCCGCAACTGTCAAATCCACCCCAGTTCTTGCCGTACCTCATCATGTCCGAGCATTCCTAACAACATCGTGGTGATGTTTTTGCGGATGGTTCCATCAACCTTGGCCCCGGCCCCCTGTGTTACAAAGCGGAGTGCCTGAAGCAATGTCTCTCTGAAAGAGAATTGAATAGATCTGTAGCAATGCAGAGCAATTACATGCACATTCCTGAGTAATGTCTTTAATATACACCCATCCCCTGCAACCCTGCAGGTTTTCCAACTGTAGCTTGTGGAGTTAAAACTACAAATACCCTTGAACAACCAAAGATAAGCGTCTAGAGTGGAGAACTTACTGCGAGTACGATCACTTACAAGTGGGAACTTTAATATCAGCCAAAGAATTCCAGAGATTAATTGTACTGCAGATTAGTTACGATCAACACTCAACCAGATCAGTGACCAGATCCCTCATGGCTCAGTGCCACATTATTGCATTTACCCACTAAGTTGTCAGTAATAATAATAATAATCCTTCCATTTGATATGACACCTTATCACATCTTTGAGACGTCTCAAAGCGCTTCATATAATATACTGTAAAGTGAATTGACTGTATAGTTTGTGGTCGAAACGCAGCAGCCAATTGCGCACAGCAGTGTCCCACAAACAGTCGTGGATTGAAGTAACCAAATTATTTTTTGAAGATATTATTACTTAGGAAAAAGCGATCCGCCAATTGACTAACAACCTGGTTTCTACTTAATGCTAGGTAAACAGAGGATGTGGAGTAAGGAAACTTGCCTAACTTTTCGCCGTGTCCTTACAATGGTGTAAGGAGACAAGCTAAAATGAAGACGTGTAATCCAGGGATCAAATGAAACTGAAAATCATAGCTTGGACTATATTCTTCCATTTCTATAGAACCTCTACCTTCCCTCATTGCTTGTTCATTTCTATTCAATCACCTCAGACTTGACCAGCTCCACTGGGTTCCCATTCCCCTAGTGGATTGAGTTCAAGATCCTTGTCCTAATCTTTAAATCCTCACCCCCCACTACATGATTTTGTCCCATCCTACCTCTGTGACCTCCTCAAACCTTAACAAACCCGGTTGGTCCCTCTGCTCAGCGGGCACTAGCCTGCCTCATGTATCTCACTCCACCATTGGTGGGTGGACTTTCAACACATCTGCCTCCACTCTCCAGAAATTCATCCCTCCCCGCACCTTGTCCAAGGTCCACCTCCAGGTCTTCCTCTTTGACTCTGCTTTCAGCCATCTTTCTCCCCCTCAGACTTCACCCCCAGACCGGGTGCAAACTCTGGACTGTCCAGCTCATTGGGGCGTCCTCCTGACATGCAAGGCGCTACATTTGTATTGAATTGAATTTATGCGGAAGTTGTCAAATTATAAAGAACCTGCTATGAGTTAATTGCCCAGTGATGTTGTTGACATAACCAAAGATCTTCCAGCAGAGACAACTCTCCACCTCTCCAATATACAACCCCCACATACCTTACGCTGGAGTCCTCTGCGTTTCGAATAAGGTTTAATAGTTCTGTAAACAGCGGATCCACCTTGGTGTGAATGACAATCAGATTCCCCAGTGCTTCTGCGGCTTTCAGGCGGACAGCACGGTTTGCGTCAGACAAGGCTTTTGTAAACGTGGTTTGAAGTTGAGGAAGGAAGGGCTTCAGGGCAATCCCTACCTGTACGTTTACAGAAACACGAGGAGAAGCAGCAATTAACTGAAAGCTGTTATTGACTCTTGGAAGTGTAGTCCTGTACACCCGTCTGGAACAATCTCTGTGTGGGGACCACAATGTATCCGTATTGAATCCTATTTTATTGTCTATTTTAGATATCAAATTATGCTGGAGATTGACGGCTGGACCTACCACAAGGTGACTGTAACCTTTGAAGAATACGTTTTATGTAGTTGTAATGGATTCTATATGGAATTTGAATAAAAAGCGATAGAATACATTTCACGGTCGAAGGCTTTGCTCTTACCTTGCCGAGCAGCAAGCTGAGGGTGTCCAGCAGAGCCACCTTCACGTTCCAGCTGAACCGATCGCCCAAGATGCGGATCAGAGGTCCAGTGATGTTGATCACAGACGGTTTCAGGGCTTCTGCTGAAGTCAATTTGATAACGAGTCCGAGAGCTTTGGCAGCTTCCTCCTTCTGCTCAGGGCTCCCGGTCAGAACACCCTCTCGCAGAACTGGCAGGATTGACGTAACCCCCTAAAATAGGTGATTAGGGACATTTTCAGCTCAAGACGTCTTCTAGATATACGGTAAAGTGAACTGCCTGTATATTTGTGGGCGAAACGTGGCAGCCAATTGCGCACAGCAGCATCCCACAAACAGTTGTGGATTGAGTGACCAAATTATTATGATTAGTTTTTTTTCTTGAGGGATTATTATCAGATGTGTGGAGTAGGGAAACTTGCCTTAGGTTTTGCCCTGCCGGGAATCAAACCCAGGTCTCTCTTGCGAGGCGAGTGGTCTAACCACTGAGCTACAGGACTCCATGATGAAGCACAGAACTACCGGTGCTCAGACACTCAATGCTCTTACCTTTTTAGGAATACAGAACCCTGGCAGATGTTCTCCTTTTGCGTCCGCAGCTGCTGCACGGATATCTTTGTGCAGATCATCAATCAAGGACAGCTGGCCGCCAGAATCCAACTTCTAATTGAGGAAAATTGAAGATAGTCAAGAGATTTGAGGGTTTTCAAACACGGAATGAACTACAAGCTACAAATAAGAAAAAAAGGTGTTTAGGAGGGAGATAGACAATTGTAAAGTAAGAGTCTATTCAGGGTCATGGAGTAAGAGCAGCGATGTAAAATTCAAAACCTAAAGAGCGTGATTGAATAAAAATTGACAGACTGAATGAACTAATCCTGTTCCTACATTCATAATATAAATTGAGCTCACATACTAATTTGAGGTGTAATGAGGTGTACTTGCAATATCAATCTCCCCCCCGGAACATTTTGGAATACATAAAGTTAGTTTCTTCCCTCATCGTTTTTGGTTCTAGATCCGAGTCCATGATCTTAAGTCCAATTAAGAAAAATCTCAGTATAAGTCAGTACCCACTGCCAAACTGAGACGCACAACAACAACTTGCACTTACATAGCGCCCTCCACCAGGGTAGCGTCACAGAGCGCTTAACAGTGGCGGAGCCTGACTCCGAGCCGGGTTGCGAGGGGAGGTGGCCGTAAGCAAGGTCGAAGAGGAAGGTTTTCAGGTGGGACTTGACAAAGGGGACACACTACCTTGGTTACTGCACTGAGAGCATCCCAGCTCTCATTGAGGACAGTTTCATCGGCATCATTGAAGAGTCTGATTAAACCAGCCATCAGATTCCTAACGTGGGGGAAATAGTCAGCCTTGGACTTGGAGCAGTAAGTGTTGATGATGGTTGCTGCAGCTTTGCGCATTCCAACATCCGGGTTCTTCGTGGCCTCCAGAAGATCCTCCAGAATTATTCTTTGACCAACTTCATCCACCACAGAAAGAATGACTGTATGACAGTTTGCCAGCTCCTGTAAGAGACATCTCGATTAGGACAACATAGGTGATGTCATTTGCATTGAAAGCACGCAGCTGTTGTACGTAAAAGTTGGCAAAAAGAGAGACAATGCACTAGAACAGGAGGAGGCCATTCAGCCCCTCAAGCTTGTTCCGCTATTCTATAAGATCAGAGCTGATCTGTACCTCAACTACAATTACCCACCCTTGCCCTGTATCCTTTAGTACCCTGACCTAACAAATATCTGTCCACCTCAGTCTTGAAGATGTGAATGGATCCAGGATCCAGCCTTTTTGGGGAGAGAGTTCCAGATTTCCACTACCCTTTGGGTGAAAAACTATCTCCTAATTTCACTCCTAAATGGTCTGGCTCTAATTTTAAGATGATGCCCCCTTGTTCTGGATTCCCTGACCAGAGGAAATAGTTTCTGTGTATATACCCTATCAAACCCCTTTATTATGTTAAAAAACATTCAGATCAGCCCTCAACCTTCTAAACCCAAGAGAATACAGACCAAGTTTATGCAACATGTCCTCATAATTTAACCCTTTAAGCCCTGGTATCATTGTGGTGAAACTGTGCTGCACCCCCTCCAGAGCCAATATATCCTTCCTGAGGTATGATGCCCAAAGCTAAATGCAGTCTCCAGATGGGGTCTGACCAAGGCTCCATACAGTCAAAGAATAATCTCCTCTCCTTTATATCTCAGCTTCCTTGAGGAAAAAGGCCAACACCCCATTAGCCTTGTTGATAACTTTTTGTACCTGTGAGCTTGTTTTTAGTGAGTTGTGTATGTGGACACTCAAATCCCTTTGCTCCTCCACAATTCTTAGTTTCTCACAATTTAGAAAATATTCTGTTTTGCTATTTTTAGATCTACAGTGGATGACCTCACACTTCCCCACATTGAATTCCACCTGACATTTTACTCACTCAATCTGTCAAAGTTCCTTTGTCACTTCCTGCTCCTATCTACACAATTTACTGTGCCTCCTAACTTTGTGTCATCTGCAAGTTTTGATATAAAACTCTCTATTCCTTCATCCAAGTCATTTATATACACGGTGAATAGCTAAGGGCCCAGTACAGACCCCTGGGGGTTCTCTGCTAACTGAAATGCCATTTGTAGTTAAAAAGAATTCAATGTGTTATGAAGCTAATTAGAAAGCAACAAAAAACCTGATCAATCACGGCCTAACAGAAATTTCTTAAGACACTTAAAAGGAGAAATGTTGAGCTAGCCAAGCACCTGCCATAGAAATTGGTGATTTCTTAATCATAGAATGTTACAGCACAGTAGGAGGCCATTCGGCAAATCGGGACTCTGTCTGCTCTTTGGAAGAGCTAACCAATCATTCCCACTCCCCCGCTCTTTCCCCATATCCTTGCAAATTATTGCTTTTCAAGTACCTGTCCATTTCCCTTTTCAAAGTTATTATTGAATCTGTTTCCACCGACCCTTTCAGGCCGTGCATTCCAGACCTTAACAACTCTTTATGTAAAACAAAATTTCTCCTTCTCTCCTCTCTGGTTCTTTTGTTAATCAACTTGAATAATAATAATAACCCTTGCATTTGATAGAGAGCTTTTCACGTCGGGAGGACGTCCCAAAGCGCTTCACAGAACACACTGTAAAGTGAATTGACTGTATATTTGTGGGCGAACGCGGCAGCCAATTGCGCACAGCAATGTCCCACAAACAGTCGTAGATTGAAAATGACCAATTTTTTTTATTATTGTTTTTGGTTTTGGAGGGATTATTATTAGGCTCTGTGTGGAGTAAGGAAACTTGCCCAAGGTTTCGCCCTCTGCCTGGAGTTGAACTCAGGTCTCTCACTTGCAAAGCGAGTGCTCTAACCACTGAGCTACAGGACTCCAGCTCAGCTGAATCTCTGTCCTCTGGTTACCAACCCACCCGCCAGTGGAAACAGTTTCCCCCTATCTACGCTATCAGAACCCCTCATAATTTTGAACACCTCTATCAAATCTCCCTTTAACCTCCTCTGCTCTAAGGAGAACAATCCCCACATTTCACAGTGGGAAATATGATACCATGCGAGAGTTAAATCCAAACCAATCCAAACTAGCCACGAACAATAAGAACCACCTTCCAGCACTCACTCTTAATGGTGAGATAACATTAAGGTCACAAATACTTACCTCTTGTCCTTCGCTGGTTCCCATCTTGTCCTTCAGTGCAGTCATCAGAGCAGGCAGTATCACACTGAGGTGTCGTGTCAATGCATCTCCTGCTACAGAAGACAGGAATGCGAGCACCCGTGTGTTCACCGGGGGAGCGGTAAGCTGGAGAGAACAAGGAAAGCAAAAAATGGAGGGGATGTGTTTTGAAAGGCCCTTTTTGGTGCGTGACCTCTCAGGTCGAATTATTGAGATCTCCTTGTGGAATGTGAAATCCACAGGAAGAGATCATTGGGGTGTTTACACACCGCTATCTCACGCATTCAGCATTTTCTTCTCTGCTGCACCATTCCCAGACTCCCCCGCTATTTATCCTGATCTATTTCAAATTTTAGTGGCAAGATCGCCGGATATGAATCACAATTGTCTGTTCATAAACAGCTGCATTTCTTTATATAAACAATAATAATCCTTGGATTTAATATCGCGCCTTATCACAGCTTCAAAACGTCTCAAAGCGCTTCACAGAATACACTGTAAAGTGAATTGACTGTATTTTGCGGGCGAAATGCGGCAGCCAATTGCGCACAGCAGCGTCCCAAAAAGAGTTGTAAATTGAGGGACCAAATTATTATTATTTTTTTGAAGGGATTACTGCTCCCGGAAAAGAGATCCGCCAATCGACTAACAACCCGGTTTCTACTTACTGCTGGGTAAACAGAGGCATGAGGATTAAGGAAACTTGTTCAAAGTTACACCTTGCCTGGGAATTGAACCCAGGTCCTCTCGGTTGTGAGGCGAGTGCTCTAACCACTAAGCTACAGGATTTAACAATGTTAAATCTTCAGGCAGGTCTATATTTTTTGAATGCTGTTTCATCAACAGACCAGTTAAACCAGTCTCTTCTTGCCCGAGGTTTCCTATGTTACATACCTTTGGCACGAGATAAGGGAGAACAACACGACTCTTTACTGCCATCACTTGCTTCAGTCCATCCAGAGCAAATTCTGACATTTCTTCATCATCCTGCCAGACACAATAATCAGCTGATCTCAATCCAACATAACACAGACACAGACATAATAATTGTTGCAACTTAATTTCAAATTCATCTCTCACACATTGCTAATAGTAACAGGCAGAACTGTTCCTTTATGACTCGGATATAACACTTAAGGCAGCAATAGCCAAAGTCTCAATGAGGCGACAAATAATAATTCACAACAGAAGAATAAGGCGGCAGACGTATCTGGGTGATAACTCTGTCCCATTCTCACTCACAAGCTGTTGTAGCAAGGATGGCAGGATGTCTTCTAGGGCCTGGTACCCGATTGTTGAGTGTAGTTGCTCAAATGTTTTGGACGCTGCCTCTCGGACTTCTTCCAAAGGATCACAAAGGGCCTTCCGCACGGTGGGAACCAGAGACTCAGAGAAGACAAGAACCTAGCACAGAGAAGGATCGGATGACAATCACAGAATGATAAGAACATTTGTGCACAGAAATAGGCCATTTGACCCATCAAGTCTAATCTGTGCTGTCTTTTTGATCTGCTTTTCTACACGCGAGTCACACAATCTATTCCCACTCTCTTGCTCCCTCCCCGATACCCTTTAATATTTCTAACTTTCACATATCTATCCACTTTCTCTTCTGAAAGAATTTACAGGATAAACTGGTTTGTCAGCAATACTGATGGCCTCATCGCTTGCTTCAGTCCATCCAGAGCAAATTCTGACATTTCCTCAGAAAGGAGCTCAGGGATTCTTTGCTGAGATTCCTGTAGAATCTGAGTTAACTAATTTAACGGTCAGGCTGAGAGGCGGCACTGCTGAGCTGACACGCCAAAGTGGTGAAAGTAAACCAAGCGGAACATAACGGGTTAACAGTTACTTACTGCGTCTCTGCTGGTGGATTTCATGATCTCACTGAGGCCAATGCAGACGCCCTGCCTCTCATCGCTCTTCTCTGATCTCAATCCCTCCTCCAGGATAGGAATGATGTCTGGCAGGATCTTTTCTCCGAGCTTCCGCACAAGATCACCCAGTGTCCTGGCAGCAATCTACAAGTTCATAACGTCAACCATGGCTAGCACGCGATTCATTTCAACTTCTGTGACCATCTGCGGTCAGGCCTTCAGCTGCACTGCCCCCACCGTTTCACTGCCCCCACCGTTTCACTGCCCTCACTGTTTGAAACCCTTTGCCTCGCTCTTTCTCTTTGCCTCCAAGATTCTCCTCTTCGACCGCGCCTTCAGTCACTCTCCTACCCCTACCCCCTCTGCCCTCCACCCTACTTCCCTCCCCCAATCCCAACTCCCAGCTCGGGTCCAAATCCCTGACTGTCCAGCGCCTTGGGTTGTCCTACTGACGCGAAGGCGCTTGACAAATGTAATTTGTTGTTGTTGTCGTTGTGAGTTGCCTGATCTAAAAACAACCCTACATCTTAAAACTGGAAATCCTTATCTCAGAACAGTAAAATGACACCATCACACAAAGAAGATTACTGACTGACTCATACAGAAAGCTACACCAGAGAGAGATGTCCAAACCATGATCAATCCATCAGAGACAACTGACCGCAACAAAAAATAGCCACCAAAGTCTAAGGTTCTATGCAGATGGGATGTTGATGGTTTCTTTTCAGTTTCAGTGGTACAATTATCATACTGATTCACAGGTCACATGAACTGCATCTCTGACAGACAGTCACTGTATTCAACAGAGCAGGGCTGGCACTGTCTATGGTTCACTTGTCCTAATGATTTTTGTGTTTGAATACTTAACATATTTGATCCAATTACATTATTATGAATTATGTGTTTGCGATACCCAGCTGTGTGCAAGCAGCAAATCTATCACCAGACCCAGATCTTGCATTCAACGACAACAACTTGTATTTATATGAAGCCCTTCATGCAGGGTAGCGTCCCAGAGCGCTTGACAGTAGCCGAGCGAACACGACGATAGCTAAGACAGGAGCTCAGGGATTCTTTGCTGAGATTCCTGTAGAATCTGGGTTAACTAGTTCACAAGCTAGTATACTTCAGTCCTATGTAGAGCCCAGCAAGCACACGGTATACTAATCAACTCAGCTGTAAAATTTGGCTGTAAAATAAAGGGAGATTAAGACGATACCATGTGGATCCTGGTCTGATTCCACATGTAAATAATGAGCAGACCCCAAAGGACAACATTACTGTTCAAGACATAAGTGCCTGTCTGATTGTGTCCGCTAGTGGTTTAAATATAGTATCACAGGAGAACTGTGTGATAAACGAGAGCGTTAAAAACTGAGAGGCTACCCTGCGTGGAGGGTGCTACGTAAGTGCAAGTCGTTCTTGAACCAGTATGGTGTTATATCCACCCGGTTAATTCGTATTTTCTTGTTTATTAGCCCTGAATAGATTGGACTACAAGAGAAGGTCTTTTTGTAAATGTGAAATCCTCCTCTGAAAATAATTCCCCGGAGACTGAGCCTTGCTCAGGCTTCAACAACAACAACAACTTACATTTATATAGCTCCCCTCACGCGGGGTAGCCTCACGGGAGGGCCTCACTCTCCAACAGCTCAGAACCAAACCGTGTCAGCCCATAAGACTGTCAGATACCATCAGTCTGAGAGGGTTCAGACTCACCGTTCTCTTGTCTGCACACGTGCTCGCCAAGAAACCCAGTAACAAGCCAAAGAGGGTCGGCAGGACCTCCCGCAGTGTCCGCGGTGTGTTGGACACAACGATCTTCCAGACGTGGAGCGAGGCCTGACGCACGACCAGCTGTGTATCAGAACGGCCCATGTAGAGCCCAGCAAGCACCCGGTTTCGCCTGTCCTCACCAAGAGCATTAATGATAGCCTGAAAGGAGAGACGGGGGGGGGGGGGGGAGATGGGAGATGTTATACTATATTATATTCTCACAAAACATTTCATAATTCAACTGACATTCACTCAGTCACAAAGCAAACTACTTCTTGGCACTTCAGTGACAAGTCCAGGATGACAACCGATGGCAGTTGCAGAAATAACAACAAAGTACAGCGCCTTTCGCGTCAGGAGGACGTCCCAAGGCGCTGGACAGTCAGGGAGCCGCACCTGAGCTGGTGGTTGGGATCAGGAGGGCGGGGAGGTTAGGGGTAGGAGGGTGAGCGAAGGCACGGTCAAATAGGAGGGTCTTGAGACAGGTCATGAAGGAGGCAAGAGAGGTGGGGAGGCGGAGGGACTGTGGGATGGAGTTCCAGAGAGTGGGGGCAAAGTGGGTGGGGCAGAGAGGCTGAAGGCTTGCCCACCAATGATGTCCCTAATGTGTGTTCCTCACCTTATTAGACTGAGCTGTGCCAAAGTTGTCATCTTCTGAGGCAGTCTCTGTGGTCATCTTTCCTGTCACACCCGACACATGGAAAAGTAGGTCTCCCAGCAGCTGCACTGAGCTGAACCTAAAGTCCAAAGTGCAAAATCAAGGTTATTTTACTATATTTAACGTGAATGTGTTCTAAACCATTTGGCCGTCCCATCAAAAATGAAATATACGTGACTCAATGCACTTGGATTATTGCCTCCAGAGAGGAACCGGTAGCTCAACCAATGATTGTTCAGGCAATCATTGGACAGGACCGAGTGAGCTATCGCCTGAGGCAGGTCAGCATTGGCAGAACAGGGAGTGAGGGCAAACATGACTGGGGTAGTAGCTGGTAAAGAGAACAGGATATGGGAGGATTCCTTAACAACCAAGCTTCATATTTTTGTATGCAAGAAAATAAGGATTTGCTGGCGAAAGAAGGCCTAGGTCCATCTAGTTTCCCTTCCACCATCCTGAATTGCTTGACGTGTCTTGTCTCAACCTATATACTGTATCCCCAGATATCATTTTCTAGCCAAAATCTATCTAATTTGTTCTCAAAACATACATTTTCTGCTTCCATCGTCTGTCTCCCTGGGAGCCTGTTTCATAAGTTTACTACTCGCTCACTGAAGTCGTGTTTCCGAAGATTTGTTCTCAATTTACCCCCTTCAAATCTTAGAATTTGTAAACCTTTTGAAAAGTCTGCAGAGACTGCTCTCTCTTCCTTGTAAATATTTGGTATTTTTAATTTGAATGCCCTCTCGAGGATTTGCAGAACCCCACCGTTTTCTGGGTGGCTGGAGCTGGGCTGGGAAGGGCTGGATACTGGGAGAAACCAGGGTAGGCACACGGTGACTGTGTACTTGTCGGCTTGGAATCACCAGCTAATAGACACTAATTACAACAAAATACATAAGAATTGTTACAACCACATTTCATTCAAGGTTTCCCTCGCCCAGCCCACCATCAGCAGTCGGGCCTTCAGCCTCTCTGCCCCCACCCTCTCAAACTCCACCCCACATTCCCTTTGTCTCGCTCCATCCTTTATCTCCTTCAAGGCATTTCTGAAGACCCTCCTCTTCAACCGCGCCTTTGGCCACCCTCCACCCTCTCAGCTCCCAAAACACCCCCCACCCGCCCCAGGTCCAAATCCCTGAGTGTCCAGTGCCTCGGAACATCCTCCCAGCTTGAAAGGTGCCAAACAATGTAATTTTGTATTGTGTTGTATCGTACCTGATTCTCCAGTTGTCATCAAACAGTCCTTGTTCCAGTTCTGGCAGCAGGAGGGCGATGGCGGTCTCAGCGTACATGCTGATGATTCGCTGTCCAGCGCGGAGCGCAGTGTCACGCACAAATTCATTCTCGTCCGCCAGAGCCTACACACAAAACCCAGACCCGCGTGTTAGATTGCAATATGTTTCGCTATCTCTTGTTATTCACAGCCACTACCTGCCCCTTGCCACACACAATCTGGAAGCACTTTCACTGTATGTCACTGTCATTTTGCCTTACACTCAGCGTACAACTAGCGAGGCAACATGTACGTGGAGACGAACCATGTTTCACCAGACAGTGTTTCTTGTGCTGCGGCTGAGCCTGAAAGACTAGGAAAAGCCAGGAGCTGCATACACGAGGAAGAAACAACAACAACTTGCATTTATAGAGCACCCCTCGCACAGGGCAGCGCCCCAGAGCCCTTGACAATGGCGGAGCACGACCCCGAGCTGCAGCGAGGGGGAGGTGGCCATAGGCACGGTCAAATAGGAAGGTCTTCAGGCGCGACATGAAGATGGGGAAAAAACCTGAAGAAAGATTACAAAATGTAAACCGACCTCTCAGGGACTCGGGGGTTTTATGCAGAACTATTACTGAAGGGCCTGTGCTGTGGCATGGATTGTGCTGTATGCATACGGTCTGTGAAAGGAGTCGCCAATGTGACTGACGTCAGGAAAAATGGGAGTTAGGTGTGGCGAAAAGTGTTAAAGAGAGGCCCCTGGGCAGATGGGCATTGGAGACAACAACAACAACTTGTATTTATATAGCGCCCTTCACGAAGGGTAGTGTCCTGGAGCGCTTGACAATGGCGCGGTCTGACCCTGAGCCAGAGGAAGAGGGGAGAGAAGAAAAAGTAAGAACAAAAGTGATTACATGTAACATTGATTAATCAGATGTAACAGGGAGCACAGGGTACGTATAGAGTACGTATAGAGTACGTATAGAGCTCTCTATACGTGTACGTATAGAGAGCAGCCAAAGTAGGCAAAGGAGAGGAGTTCATCGAGCGTGAAGAGGAAGAGGGAAGCAATGGCTAAAGGCAATGACAACGAGGGTGTGGGGTTGGTGTGAGGAACAGACCATCAATGCTGCAGCTCTTCTCGTCATGTACCAGGGAGAGAAATCGAGTTGTAACTGGGATCTTACCTTCAGAATGCAGGGTATAATGGCTCCCACGTATGCAGTGAACTTGTCTCCGAAGGTGACGGGCAGGTAGATGAACATCATCATATAGCCGTCACGGACATGAGGTGCGATCTCCACCTTACTGGCAGTGGCCACGATGTCTGGCATGAGCTTTTCTAGTTTTTCGACTCCCAGTCCAGCCATCACCTCAGCCATGCCTGAAACACAGGAAAAAGAATTAAAAACTGTGACACTTTTCCAAACACTGAATAGGCTCTTCAAGTAGTAGGATATTTGGCTAATTCTATGAGCAGTTTAATAACAATAATCCTTGCATTTGATATGGTGCCTTATGACGTCTTTGAAACGTCTCAAAGCTCTTCACAGGATATACTGCAAAGTGAATTGACTGTGTATTTTGTGGGTGAAACCCGGAAGCCAATTGTGCACAGCAGCGTCCCACAAACAGTTAGGGATTGATTGACCACATTTGAAAAAAATGTTGTTTTTTTTTGAAGGTGACAAAACACTTTTAGTCGCGGTACAAATAGGAATTAAAACTTACAGACCCCATTTTTAACATTAGTTAATTACATTACGTGGAGTCCTGTAGCTCAGTGGTTAGAGCACTCGCTTTGCAAGTGAGAGACCTGAGTTCAATTCCAGGCAGAGGGCGAAACCTTGGGCAAGTTTCCTTACTCCACACAGAGCCTAATAATAATCCCTCCAAAAAAACTAAAAACAATAATTAAATTGGTCATTTTCAATCTACGACTGTTTGTGGGACATTGCTGTGCGCAATTGGCTGCCGCGTTCGCCCACAAATATACAGTCAATTCACTTTACAGTGTGTTCTGTGAAGCGCTTTGGGACGTCCTCCCGACGTGAAAAGCGCTATATCAAATGCAAGGATTATTATTGTTATTACATTTACATAATCTTTTTTTCTTTCAATGTACCAAAATTCATCTCCCCCCATATGCCCCAGGCAAACAGTGAGCTTGAATATTGTTCCTTTTCAGAATATTTCACAGCCCTTCCCAGACCTCGCTGAAAATAGGCGATTGTTCCGCAAACTTCAATTCACGAGAGGTTTGGATGAAGAGGCCCTTAGATCTCATCCTTCCAGAATATCAACTCTACCGTCTTCCCATGAGAACATCAAGCTGTTTTTAAATAAATTCTCGATAAGACGCGATAGTCCCCGTAACCATGTCTGGTTGTTATTCTCTGCAAAGAAATACTTTCTGTCCTAAAATTGCCCTTCACACTCCGGAATCTGACGTCTTGTTCCTTTAGTCACTAATCTTCATTCTTACTCTTCACTGTCAGTTTATAAAGGAGTCTCTCATGAAGTATTTTGCCCAAAACCTTTTGGAAGTCTAGCTACACTACAGCATATGGCTTATTTGGTATGTAATCTCCTCACAAAATCCAATAAGTTGCTCAGACAAAATTTGTCCCTAATGAAGCCTTGTTAGCTGTTATTTACTGGGCTATTTTCATACAGGCATTCTTCTCTTTTGCTTCTGACGATTGATTCTGTTTATTTTCTGTTCATTGAGGTTAGGCAAATATAATTGGGAGTGTCAGCCTGTGAGCTCAAAGTCCTGACTTGGGCTTGAACCCACAGCTTTCTGACTCAGAGGCGAGAGAGAGCGCTACTAACTACGCCAGGCTGACACCTAAAGGTTAAGGAAGGAACAAGAATTTTAACAGGAGTGGTGTGTCACTGACTAGTCAGCTGTTTATATTGCGTACATTTTCTTTGCAGGATCTGCTACCTCCTCACCTTGTGCTGCTCCGGATCGATCGACGGAACTCTGCTCCGAAGCCAACATCTCCATCAGCCAAGGTAACAGGTCATCGAAACACGACTCACCCATTCCCTTCACCATCGCTCCCAGTGCCTTCGCCGACACAGTACGAACCTTGTGAACAAGAAGAGAAAAACATGATTACAAATTAAAGAAACAATTGCAAGTCAATATAGAGACGACAACGACAAATTACATTTGTACAGCCCAAGGAGCTAGTGGTTGGGATCAGGAAGGGTGGATAGCAGGGGAGGGTAGGAGTAGGATCATTACCGAAGGCACGGTCGAAGAGGAGGGTCTTGAGAGATCTTGAATGAGGCAAGGGAGTGGGCGAGGCGGAGGGACTGTGGGATGGAGTTCCAGAGGGCTGAGGCAGAGAGGCTGAAAGCCCAGCCACCAATGGTGGGGTGGGCAAGGCGGGGGACGTGAAGCAGGTTGGAGCCCACTTAGTGGAGGGAGCAGACGGTTTGTAGGGGCTTAGGAGGTTGCAGGGGTAGGGGGGAGCAAGGCCATGGAGGGCTTTGAAGGTGAGGAATGTATTTTTCTTAGACAGACTATTTTCTCAACTTCAAGCAACCTGACCATTCCTGTCTCTACTAGTCCTGCAGTCATCGCATCTGTCAATGCCATTCTCCAAAAATGCGTTACACTGCCAGTTTAAGATTATTTTAAAAATTTTCCAATAGATATTATTTATTTTGTTCTGGAAGTTTTGACTTTTAGCAATCTTTTCAACCACAAATATCTTAAAAAAAAGTAAAGTAACCAATAATAATTTTTGGTGTTGAAAAAAGTGGGGAAAAAAGGTGTTTTAAAAAAGCGATTTTAAGAATAAGAGTTCATTGGAAAGCCCTATGAATACCAAATTTACTGATTAAAATCAGAACAAGCCTACAGAGTTCATGACAGTCATCAAGAGTTGTTGACAGTCTGCAGATTTTCTAGGCGAGATCAAGCAAAAAAGAAATCTCAATTATAGCTCAAACCACGAGGGCTCAAACAATGTTGTTCAAGGCTGGTAACAATAATAATAAACCTTGCATTTGATATAGTGCCTTATAATATCTTGAGACATCTCAAAGCGTTTCACAGAATTGACTATAAAGTGTAGTGACTGTGTGTTTTGTGGACGAAACGGGGCAGCCAATTGCGCACAACAGTCGCGAATTGAATGACTTTTTTTAAGGCTGACACAGAAATCTCATCAACGATAATTATGTTCTTCTCTGTGGAAGAGGCATGTCAATTGAATCCTTGCGTCTCCAGACAGGTAAAGAGTAACCACGGACTTGGCTCACTGTATTCTCTTACCTCTGGAACAGGATCCAGCAAAGACAGCTTCAGACCTGGCATGACACTGGGCAGGTACGGTGCAAGATCCTGTAAACGCAGCAATAAAAAGCAATGAACTCATTTATAACCAGAGAAATTTACAGAACCCGAGAGAAAACAACGTTTTTTTAAAGAATCAATTTTAAACAATGCAAATTAATTCCTTTTAATTGGGGGAAAATTGGAAAACCCAACAAAAATTCAAATTTTTACTGATTGAAATCAGAGCAAACCTATTTATAGTACAGGAGGTCAAACAAGTTATCACTCCTGATGACTGTTGACAGTCTGCAGATTCATAGACATTTTAGGAACTTTTGTTACAACATTCACCTCACTTCCCATCAATCTTGTTGTTAATACTGGCCGGATGCTCACACCGTAAATTTCAGGCAGGAGTAGAACAATGGTCCAGCCAACATCCCAAAAATACAGAAAGACTCGGATGAAATATTTAGCATTAATCTTTATAAGTGGCTCATATTTATCTATGTAAGAACATAGATACATGTAAAGAACATTTCCATTCAAACCCTGTATTGGTTGCAGGTACAAAATACGACCACCTCTTTTCTGCATCACAGATACAATCAGTTTAGTGTAAGGATCTAAGTAGGTATTTAACTTTAAATAACTGAGTGAGGTTTACCTTCTGGTCTGTAAGGGAATACATGTTGCCTATGATCTGAGCAGCCATTTTACGAGTATCTGTGGATCGGTCCTGGAATGCTCTCTGTACTATGGGCATGATCAGTGCCAGAGACGGAGCATCAATAAAGTGAACAAATTTAGTATCGAGCAGTGTCTGGAGGCACAGCTGGGTCCTCCTGGACGGGTCTGTCAAGGCGTCCAGTAAAACGGGAGTGATTGCTGCACAAGAAAACCATTTGGTTGATTAACACAAAGCCAGAAACTAACACGTTCAATGCATCATTCCAGCGTCAACACTAGTAACAAGTTAGAGTTGCTCTACCTCAGAAGCCAAATAAAAAATTAATTAATACCTCTGTTAATAATGTAACTTATCAAAAAACTGGCAACTCCACTACATTGACAAAAGAACATTTCTGAATTCACTTAAACAATTCAGCTAGGGTAATTCCAGATTCTATGGAAGTGGCCTTTGCTCAAGGCAATATCCCTAGGAAAACACAGTGACGAAAGGATTTTATGAACTGTTTAAAAAGCAACTTCCTTAACAAAAACAGATAAAGAGATAGAACTGCAACTTGCACTTACATTACAGGCTTATTACTTCCCCGAAGACATGACGCACAGTTCAAACTCACCTAAGATCTCAGGGTTCCTGATAACAGATCCAATCTGCCGCAGGGCTTGTTGTCCGGCTTTCTGCACTTTCACGTGGGAGTCTGTTAATACTTCGGTCAATTTGGGCACAATATTTGGCAAACAGGACGACAGCTGCTTGGGAGCACAGTATGCCATGGCGCCCAGTAATTCAACTGAACCTAGAGACACAAGAACATGAATGTTCAGTCCAAGGGAGAGAGAACCGTGTAATTTCTTTCTCTTCCTCCCACCAATTATTGCTTGCTGGCCGAATTATTATTGAAGGCGTTTGACAATTTAATTGAATAAAAACCCTTGCATTTGATATAGCACCTTATCATGTCTTCGCGACGTCTCAAGGCGCTTCACAGAATATACTGTAAATTGTATTGACTGTATATTTTGTAGGGGAAACGCAGCAGCCAATTGCGCTCACAATTTTCCCCTGGTACTAGAGTTTCACGACCCTGCAATAACTCATCTATGTGGCCATTATCTGGCTCTACGCCTTGTCATTGAAGGTCAGCCATTTCATTGGGAAAAATAGCTGATGAGTTTGATCCTTTCCACATCTGACCCCACTTCCTAGCAGTGGCTTCTGGATAGTGATGACCAGCTAATTCTCCACTCACTAACGGGTACGATGGCTGAGTGGGAGTTCCCAGTTGCTACAGTGGCTGAGATCAGCTAACTCTGAACAGAAAGGGATTCAAACATATATCTTTATGAGGCGGATTGTGCGCTGATGAGTTCTGACGAAAAGTCATCGACCTGCCTGAAACATTAACTCGCTTTCCTCTGTCCATAGATGCTGCCTGACCTGCTTTTATTTCATATATCTGTATGGCTGTTCCTTTACCCTCTGGATAATTGAGGGACCTCACCACGAGCAACTAAACTTACTGACGTAACCCATCCTGATCACTGTCTGCGCTTTGCCAGGTTGACACCCCAATTAGACTGATTTGGGGTCCTTATCTCATCTCGATTTACACTCCCTCCCTCCCCCTCTCTCTCTCTCTCTCTGGCACATCTCAAAACAAATCCTTCCCCTCCCCAAAAACACACGTTTTGTTAAGTGTTTTGAGAGGTCCTCCTGATGTGGGGAGAGCTATATAAATGTAATTTATATTGTGTTTATATAATATCATTTCAAATGATGAAGGCAGTGAGTCCTCAATAAATCTCTACCCAAGTGTCAGGGAATAACTGGGTAAATCCCTAACACAAGTGCTGTGAGTTGTGATGCTTTGGGAAGTACCTGCTTTAGTTCTCCAGGACTCCTCTTCCAGAGCAACAAGCAGTGATGGCAGAACCAGTTTCACACCGTGTGCGCTCAGGTTACGCATCACAGCCTTTGCGGTGTCATCAGATGCCTGTGAATAAATGAACAAATCAGAGGCCTGCATGGATGATGTTTAATTACACCCGAGAGCTGCGGCCTGGAGAGAAACAGAGCAACTGGGCTTATAATCAGTCAAAACAAGAAAAGATACAACTGCCCCCTGAAAAATACATACAGGTAACAAGTACCCAACACAATTTTTGTGAGCTTGACCTGGGCCATGAAAGATCATGTAACGACAAGCAAAAGTCTGTGCCAAGGAAGTTCCCTCCTGAATCCTGAGCAGATATCTATTGGGGAGTTCAGTCCAGCAGCAGATTGCATCTCCTTAAGATTGTGTCCCAGTACAATGGGCAGGACAAGTTTGCAGGGCTGTGGGGAGAGAGCGGGGGAGTAGGATTGATTTGGAAGCTCTTTTCGAAGAGTCGGTACAGACACGATGTACCGAATGGCCTCCGTCTGTGCTGTATAATTCTATGAATTGTATGAGACATGAAGCACATGGCCACTCAGTTGAGGGGCTGTTTTGCCCGAGGGGGCTAACCTATGCAGAGTTACAGTTTCCCGAGTCCTTTGGTAACTCATTTTGATCGGCCATTTTTCACAGTAGGACTGAACAGTGAGTAGCACAGTTGAGCTCGATCTGGTTCTCAGCTGATATCCTGTGTACACTTCCCAGCTTACCAGCAGTGCTTTTCTGAATGGTGTCCAGGAGCCAGAATCCTGGCCTTCCCCAGGGCGCTAAGAAATAATTGTAGCACTCAGCTGCTGCCCGCATCAGATTAGCTAAATCTGATGAAAGGTCATCGACCTGAAACGTTACCTCACTTTCCTCTCTGCATAGATGCTGCCTGACCCGCTGTGTGTTCCCAGCCACTTCTGTTTTTATTTTAGATTTCCAGCATCTGCAGTATTTTCCTTCGCCTCCTTCAAGACCCTCCTCTTCGACCGTACCATCAGTCACCCTCCTACCCCACCTGCCCTCCACCCCTCCTGATCCCAACCACCAGCTCGGGTGCGGATCGCTGACTGTCCAGAGTCTTATAATAATAATAATAATCCTTGCATTTGATATAGCGCTTTTCACGTCGGGAGGACGTCCCAAAGCGCTTCACAGAACACTGTAAAGTGAATTGACTGTATATTTGTGGGCGAACGCGGCAGCCAATTGCACACAGCAATGCCCCACAAACAGTCGTAGATTGAAAATGACCAATTTTATTATTGTTTTTGGTTTTTTTTGGAGGGATTATTATTAGGCTCTGTGTGGAGTAAGGAAACTTGCCCAAGGTTTGGCCCTCTGCCTGGAATTGAACTCAGGTCTCTCGCTTGCAAAGCGAGTGCTCTAACCACTGAGCTACAGGACTCCACGACTAGTCTTGGGATGTCCTCCTGACGTGAAAGGCGCTACACAAATGTTTTTTCTGTTGTTTTGAGATTAGCTAAATCAGCACAGACCAGGATTCGACCATCTGCTCAATACAGCATAGAGTTATACTGAAGCAGCCGTATTTGTGTTGAGTGTGAGATTGAGTGTGAGTGGCACTAACCTCTCGCACGTACTGGTTTCCATCACCAAAACACAGCAGCAGGTGAGGGAGCACATGGACTACGTACGGCTCAAAGAGTTTCCCCAGCATATTGCACAGCATCTCAAAGGCAAACAGAGCACCTGAGAAACAAATCACATCAACACCTTAGAACACGGATACCATATGCAACAGGGAGAACATCACAGCACAGTGCCAAAAAGGTCAAAAATAGCAATATGCACATGACCTCAAATACTGTTTCACAATGCAGGGAGAGGTTAAGTGCAACAATAACAACTTGACAGCATTTATGGAGTGCCCTTCGTGCGGGGTAGAGTTCCGAAGCGCTTGAAGTACAGGACGGGCTCACTATAATCTGGTACTTTGAGTCCACTTTTTTTCTCAGTGAGTTCACGACAGAATGCTGTGACCGACTGGAGGAAAAGAACTGAGCTGTACGTCTGGAATGAGACTTTTGTTTTGGTCAACCGGGTGTCTGTCACACGTGGAAATCCATCGCCGTGCTTAAACCAAACTGAGATTTCCATGCATCCCACCTACACATGCAAATCCCAGAGATAGATTGTTGGAATAGAATGCGCTCTCTCTCTCTCTCCCTGGAAGGACACATCCTGCTTACCTAATTCCAGAAAGTGTTAGGCGCAGGTAGGCAAGAGCCAAGGTTTGGGGTACCCAGAGTGTACTAATGGAATGGGAAGTTCTAGATATACAATGTGGTGCCACACACATTAAAGGAACATCATCTCAGCGGTTTACTTTGAGCACTTTGAGATGTCCTGCAGATGTGATAAGTCGCTGTATCAAATGCAAGGTTAATTATTATTATTATTATTTACGTGGTCTCTAGATGATGATCCTTTCATTAATTTCTGCAGATTGAACATAAGGATTAAATATTTGGATTTAAACAAAAACAGCTCTTCTGCCTGGAATAGGAAATGGATTTTGTCATCGTGTCTATACCTCTGCATCATCAGGCGATTTATACTTTAAGAAGAGGGAGCACTCAGTAAGCAGGCGCCCATCTCACCTTCTCGTCTCCTGAAGTTTTTCTTGTCCTGAATGGCTTCTGTTAACGTTCCCATTATTTCCTGCTGTTTCAGTGAGAGGATGCCCAGCCCCTTCACCAGGCCGGCCAGGCCATACGCTGCCCCTTTCCTCTCGGCGTATTTATCCGACTCCAGCAGCAGCTGGAGCAGCTTCCGAACCATCCCAGCTGCATCATCTTTAATGGCAGGAACCAGGGGAGGCAGACAGCTGGCCACTGACTCCTGAACCTACAGCACAGATGTGAATTGCATCGATTCAGTAAACACATAACAGCAGAATGTTCTATAAAATTCCTGCGCTGAAGCTTCTATCCTGAGACTGCACAATTGATGAATATATATATATATACACACACACCCACATACACACAAGTGCCCAAATGTGTCTGGGACATATTGGCTCTGGAGGGGGTGCAGCGCAGGTTCACCAGAATGTTACCAGCGCTAAAGGAGTTATATTATAAGGACAGGTTGCATCAACTTGGTCTGTATTCCCTCGAGTTGAGAAGGTTGAGGGCTGATCTGATTCTTTTTTTTAAAATGATAAAGGGATTCGACAATACACAAACATCTGCTACAAAGTCAACCATCTGAGCCATCAGAAGTCTTTGTGCAAATAAATGTACAAATATTAATAATAATCCTTGCATTTGATATAGCACCTTATCAGGTCGTCAAGACATCTCAAAGCGCTTCACAAGATAGACTGTAAAGTGTAGTGACTGTGTTTTGTGGGCGAAACGCGGCAGGCAATTGCGCACAGCGACATCCAAACAAATATCCAGGAGAATCAGTTTTATAAAACTATTCGCCTGCAAATAAAAAGCCACTGGACTTTACAGTAAATCCTGTGAAGCGCTTTAAAACATCCTCCTGACGTGAAAGGCGCAACACCAAATGCAAGGATTATTATTTTATTCATCAAACAATGTAAATAAGTGTATTAGTAACTAGCCCAGGAGAATCAGCTGTATAAGAAGATTTGCATAGATCACCCGCCTATGTCAGTTCCTTCTCATAATAACTGTCTCGAAGCAGTTCTGTATTTAGAAACAATTTCATTCTTAAAAAAAAACTTAGGACATCACTTAAGCACTGTAGTTGCTTCAAAATATTGATTTTCTCTGTACATTTCTGGGAGTCTTTCTGTGCACAGAGCCTTAAGTGCTCCGAGACGCTGTCCAGTGTGAAGGGCGCTATATAAATGCAAGTTGTTGTTCTTGTAGATTCGCTACATACCTGCTGGGATGGTGTGGAGAGGGCAGTGATGAGCTTGGCTACGATGGGTTTGACTTTAGGATCACTCTTGTCCAAATGTTTGGCCAGTGAACCCATAAGGATTACCACGCTCTGTCTGACAGCATCGTAGCTGGCATCGTTGGGAGCATTGCGCAGGAACTCTTCAAACACCGGCAGCAGAGAATTCACATTGTCCTGGAGAGAAATGGTGGTTCAGAATTACTACAGGTGAAAAAAACCTGGCAAAACATTCCTTTTCATGTGAAATCAGAGGCAGTTTTTCACCCAAAACGTGGAGCAAATCTGGAACTCTCCACCAAAAGGCTGTGGATACTAGAGCCACTGTGATTTGCTGCAATACAAGTGACATCGCAGCACAAGAAAAATCTTGAGTTTGAACTATAAAAATCTGCTTCTGTAAACATCCGCACAATCAATCACTGGGTTACCTTTCCGTGGGTGTTGAGGGCTGACAAAGCTGCATCCAGCATACACTTCCTGACCTCAGCATGCCGGTCATTCAAGGCTTCAGGTACAAAGAACTGGAAGAGAAGCTTCACCTGGGATCCATCAAGGTACTCAGAGAGTTTATTCAAAGCTAAGGCAATCCCACACCTTCAGAAAGAGAAAAGCTTTCAATGAGAAACTGATAATAATAATCCTTGCATTTGATATAACGCCTTATCATGTCTACGAGATGTCTCAAAGCGCTTCACAGGATATACTGTAAAGTGAATTGACTGTATATTGTGTGGGCAAAACGCGGCAGCCAATTGCGTACAGCGTCCCACAAACAGTCGTGGATTGAGTGACCAATTTTTTTTATGAAGGAATTATTACTCCCAGAAAAGTGACCCGCCAATTGACTAAAAACCGGATTCCTACTTACTGCTGGTAAACAGAGGTGTGCGGAGTAAGGAAACTTGCCCAACATTTCGCCCTGCCCTGGAATCGAACCCAGGTCCTCTCGCTTGCGAGGCAAGTGCTCTAACCACTGAGCTACAGGACTCCAAAACTAGACTGCACTTTCTCCTCGTACATTCCTACAACTGTAATGCTGGAAATTGTATTGTCCCCAGTGGTCAGTTGGAGAATATTTTGAGCAGCCTGCACTTTCATCACATTTCATTCAACACCTCTATCAGTACCTGGCTTCCCACTGGTCAGGTGGAGATTCAGAGATAACTCGACCAAGTGCGTCCAACACCGGAGGTGGCCTCTATAGAAAATGAAATGACACAATTTGATTGACATAACGGCATCTAATATAATAATAATAAATAATCCTTGCTTGTGATACAGCACCTTATCAAGTCTTCTAGACGTCTCAAAGCCCTTCACAGAATATACTGTAAAGTGAATTGACTATGTTTTGGGCGAAATCTGCAACTGAATCAACACAAGGGCGTTTCTACAAATACATGTTCACTACATTCAACGGGGACAGTATTTTTGTGGTAATGTTACTGAACTGGCAACCCAAGTCCTGGGTGTTGAATCCAGTCGTGGGAATAATCACGACAGAAAGCTTAAAATGCTAAATGGCATTGACTGGAATGCAGACAGCTGGTTGTTTGCTATCCATTGATTTTCCACTTTATTTTCTGGAGCGAGACATTGTCTTTGCAAAACGAGTTCCCACAACCTGTGTCCCAGATTAGAACATGCAGTAATGTACCTTTACGTTTCTTAAACATAAGTTATACAGCGACACAAAATGAATGTATCCAGAACATGATTGAATAGTGATAAATTCAGAACAAATCTGCGGAATCGCTACTTCCGTGAGTGAGTAGTAAATGTATGGAACAGGCTCCCGAGGGAGACAGACGGTGAAAGAGGAAAGGTTGTTTGTCTCAAGAACAAATTCGATAGATTTCTGCTAGAAAACAATATTTGGGGGATACAGTATATAGTTTGGGGCACGACATGTCAAGTGACTGCCAGGTTGGTGGAAGGCGACTTTTGCCTCGCAAAGATGGATAAATTTGACTGCCTTTATGTTCCTCGACCCTCACTGCCTGTTCTCTAAAAGCAGAACTTACAAAGAGCTTCTCCTGGTAAATCTCTATCAGTTTGGTCATCACTTGTGCAGCCTGCGACTGATACTGTGCTACAGCATTTGATAGTGCTTCTGCCCCCGCATGTCGTATTGCTTCCTCGTGGTATATCACATCCTTAATGAGCAAGGAGCAAAGATCTGGCTGGAGCTCCAGTCCCATGGTATCCCATAACCTTAAGAAACAAAGCAGCACAGTCAGACATGAAGACATCAAGCTTTGAGCTACACTCACTGGTATAGTTTTATAATACAGAATTTAGACATAGGTACCAATAAAAGTTATATAAGTTGGTGCATACATCTCTGGAACATAGTCGGTGTATTACACTAACACATTAATACTATTAATAATAATCTTTGATTTGATTTAGCCCTTTATCACGTGATTGAGACGTCTCAAAGCCCATCACAGAATATATTGTAGAGTGGATTGACTGTGTATTTTGTGGGCGAAATGCTGCAGCCAGTTGCTTCGTATAGAATGTAATAATTACTTCATACAGAATGTAAATTTATAAACCAAGTGAGTTTGAGGTCAGGTGATGAGCATGACTTGATTCAGGTGAGTTTTTCAAAATTCAGCCTTGTAATCATTCCAGTTATAGTCAATTTAGCTGTGGCTACCACAGATATCCCAGCAGGGAATGTACTTATTGTGACGATACTGCACTGCAAAGCCCGATTATTCTCCTATATGTTTGATCCAACAAAAGTGATCCTGCAGAAAAGCATTGGCAGCCGCCAATTGTATACATTACCAATTAACTTATGGCTTCTTACTTCTTAGCTTGCAGTCTGCTTTCCTCGTCCACGTCAAACTGTGAAACCCACAGTCTGCGTAACAGGTTCAATCCATTTTTCTCATCACTGTCTGGGGTGGGCAGCACCATGTTCATCTCCAACAATCCCTGCAAAACAGCCAGGAACATAAGAATATCTTCTTTAAGTTTGGCACCCGGCATTCAAAGGAGAGGTGACTAAGACTAAAAATGTACACATTGGAGAAAAACTCAAAATTATATTGAATATTTATAAAATAGAATCATAGAATATTACAGCACAGGAGGAGGCCATTCGGTCCATTGTGCCTGTGTTGGCTCTTTGGAAGAGACACCCAATCAGTCCCACTCCCCCACTCCTTCCTCATATCCTTGCAAGTTTTGCCTTTTCAAGTACCTGTCCAATTCCCTTTTGAAATCTGTCTTAAAAGGTATAAATAAGCTGAACCCTAATAATATGTTTAACAGTCAACAAAGTTGACACAGACTCAAGTTCAGAAGAGGGAAGGATAGCAGACAGTTTAGATTTAAATGCAAACAAACTTTTTTTTTAAAAAAAACAGGAAGTAGAGGAATACATGAATGGACTAACCAAAGATTGAACAGGAGCAAATGCAAGTGGAAAATTAGGTTGTTACAGTAATTAGCGATGATTAAGGGTTATAGGAGATGAACGTTGAGTGATTTATTTTTAACTTTAGGGCTGGCCAGGACTGTCTGTAAATGACTTTTCCAGCCTGAACATTCTATATAACATCAGAATCAAATTGCAATATTCCTGAGTAACACACAAACTGGCAGTGAGGGGCTCTCAAGCACAAAAGTACTGAAATATGCATTGCCTTGATATGTCAACCTCAATCAAATCCACCCCCCAAAAATAAAAATAACCCTTGCATTTGATATAGCGCCTTATTGCGTCTTCTCGGCATCTCAAAGCGCTTCACAGAATATACTGTAAAGTGAATTGACTGTATATTTTGTAGGTGAAAAGCGGCAGCCAATTGCACACAGCAGCGTCCCACAGACAGTCGTGGATTTACTCACTGATTCCCTATATAACAGCAACTAAACGTTTCGAAACATTTTGATCTGATAATAAATAGCAAGGTCCCAAGCAACATCAAGAGCATTGAAAACAGACAGCAGGACAACCCACGTTTGGTCAGCAGCCAGAATGATAGAGTAAGTATGTGGACAATGAATTGTTTCCAAGGGTTTGGGATAACCAAATCAATGGTAATCAATATTCTTATTTATTTGATGGCTGTATTCATTCATTTTCATTATATAAAATAGCGCAACAGGAAAAACCTGGCAGTGGGATTATGTTCCTGCTGAAGTGCTTCTTGTCAGGACAGTCCTGTACTTCATATTCTCTATCTGTCCACCCCTCCCCATAGCTTAGTCAGGATCTCTAGTAATTGACATGAACCATGTTACGGACATACCCTGAGCGCGGCATCTCGTACTGAAGAGCACGGTGATAGCAAGGCCTGCAACAGGACATCAATCTCCTCCTGTTCAGCGTAGGCACAGCCTTCCTCTCCACTGCTACTGGCACACAGCGATGTCAGCGTATTGGATGCCAGGACCTGGAACGCACAGAGCAAAATAACTTACATTCATCACAAATAACCAGGTAGCGGCCTCTTTCGGGCTTTTATTGAAGAGTATCTATTCCAATCGGTGTCCTTGCTTCTTCTGCGCAGCTAATTAGTACTGAGGTTCTCAAATAAGATACTTGTTAAAATAATCGTTGCATTTGATACATCGCCTTATCATGTCTACGAGACGTCTCAAAGCGCTTCACAGAATATACTTTAAAGTGAATTGACTGTATATCTTGTGGGCGAAACGCCGCATCCAATTGGATACTGGTAGTAACTCTGTGGTGGTTTGAAATAAGTTATTCATGTTACCTAAGATCAAAGATAAAACTTGGAACCAACTGACAGTCCTACCTGTTCCTACAATAGATAATCAAAAACAGCAAAAACAGAGCTCAAGTATCTATTTTGAGACCTTTTCAGAAGCAGACAAATATCAAACAGTTTATTCAGATTCAGAGGAATCTGATTTTTCTCAAATGAGAGCTGTCCAAGTGAAACGGGTTTTGCCAGTTTGCCAGATGGAGTGTTAAACACTATCGCAGACTGACAGCAGAAGCTCCTCATGCCCAATGATGATGTGGAAGCCAGAAATAGCATGAGGGAGATGATTTTCAAGCCGTGAAACAAAGCGAGGGCGTAGCAAGAGCAGTCAGTGTGCTCTAATTTTGTTCATAACAGATGGAGAGCGAAGGCAAATGGAATGACGTGCAGACCAGGAATTAACACACCACTCAGACCACGAGAAAGAGTAAACAGAACATTAGCTGCTTGACGAAGGCTCGGAGTAGAACAAAAGGAATGCTGATTGCTAGTGTGTGGTGATGAAGCGTTGATTGGTGTTGCTCAGCACCGGGAGGCATGGCTCAGTTCTCTTTATAAAACTGTGCACTTCACCCCATTTTAAGCGAGATGAGAAACACCAAGTGGCAATACAACAACAACACAAATACAAGGAGTGCATGCAGAGAAAGCAAACAAGTTAGAGTGTCACATGAGGTTATGGAGAGAAGCTGGGGAGACAGCATAGGAAATGCTGATTGAAAGAGCTAAGGCAATATCAGAGAAGCCTGTACAGGGTTACTACAGTGCAAAGTATTACCGGGATCACTCCCTTCGTGATTTTCATGCAGCAGAAACAGGCCAATCCATAATAATAATCCTTGCATTTGATATAGCACCTTATCACGTCTTTGAGACGTCTCAAAGCGTAGAATAAACAAGTGAATGAGAGAATAGATTAATATAATGCATGACACTGAACGTCAATGCTCAGGGGGACAGAGCTGGGCAACTTTCAGCTAGTTTTTTTAAAAAAAGGGGAGACTGAAAGGTCACAGACATGAGTACGTAAGGCTGTAGGACAATAGACTGTGGTATTCTAGATGATAAACAAGAGGGAAGAGTGGAAGGGGCACAGGTACTTGTGCATTTCGTGTCAGGGGAGAAAAACTTATTACAAATTCTTCCTTATCCTTCGGAGCGGATTACACAGTTTTGAACAAAATATTAGAATAGACCATTTCTGTAGATACCGATCTTCCTCATCCCCACCAAAGGAGAGCCTCGGGTGTGCAACTGCGGCTCCTTGACATCAGCTGGGAGCTCTCTGGCAACGAGCTAATGTCAAGGATGAGTCAGTGTTAGATGCGTCACTGGGGATTATGGGCTCAGTCTCAATCCAACATAAACTATACAGACCTTCGTTTGTAAAGAGCACAGACTTTATCGAGACCTCAAATAAAATAATAATAATCCTGGCATTTGATACAGCACCTTATCACTTTTTCGAGATGTCTCAAAGTGCTTCACAGGATATACTGTGAAGTGAATTGACTGTGTATTCTGCGGGTGAAATGCGGCAGCCAATTGAGCATAGCAGCATCCCACAGACAGTCGTGGATTGAGTGGCCAAATTATTATTATTAATTATTTTTAAAGGGATTATTACCCCCAGAAAAGTGATCCGCCAATCGACTAACAACCGGGTTCCTACTTACTGCTGGTAAACAGAGGCGTGTGGAGTAAGGAAACTTGCCCAAGGTTTCGCCCTCTGCCAGGAATCGAACCCAGGTCTCTCACTTGCGAAGCGAGTGCTCTAACCACTGAGCTACAGGACATAATCACTGAACAGATTGGACAAGCCTCTCCCTGCACCTCACTGGAGCCAGAGGGTATATTTACCTGCAGTCGGGGTGAGCTTGTACCCATGACTCTCGTTAGCAGCAACAGCATCTCCGTCCGTGGCAGCAGCTCAGGGCCGTTCTGTCAAAATACAGTCACAACCACAGCTAACTTTCAATTGCAAATGAGTGATTTATTATTGTAAGGTTTTGTTCACTGAATTGCTGGTCAGTTTTGAAGGGGAACCTCTGTGTTTGATAATTTATCTTCAGAGGGAATAGAATTCACAGTGGGCTTGAATACTGTCCTTTTCACATCTGGGGCTTGGGTTTGAGACTTGACAGAATGAATGTCTCGTCTGTTGCCCGTAAAGCTCCCAACCTCACAGCCCACAGGGGAAACTGGTTTGAATGCAGCACAAACTGCCCGTCCACACAAGTGCAATGGGTTGCTCCTCTGAGACCCATTGATAAGAGCAAAGGGCACTTCAAAGAATGATGTGAAGTCACTTGGCACCAAATTGTACCAGTCATCAGAAAGAAACCACACTGGGTGGTAAGACTAACTCTCAGTAGCAGTTTGGAGTGAAACCAATAATGATCCAACTCAAAGTTGACTAGTTCACTAACCAAAACCAAATCATTCAACAAACTGAGAATAAATTGAGTAAATTAATTTTAAAATCAGATGGTTGTATATTCCTATATGGAAGAGAGTAACTGCTGGCATTGAGAAAAACAAGACCTAAGGAATAGATGACACTGAGGCTTTACACACAGCCTGTGTAAGGGAGAAGACAGACTTCTGGTTTGCAAACTCTTAAAGGGCAGGGTTCAAAATGTTCCCTCTCCATGCTAATTTGCAGGCTGATGATTAACTTGTGGAGTTTAAACTGAAAAATCTTGTGATTAATCACCGACTAAAGGTTATTACACATTCTCTGATGCTGCAGGTTCACATTTACTAAACAGTAACACCCGTACCTCATCGATTAGCTCATCCACATCGTCACCAGCTGATCGCAGCTGAGAATGCTCACTGATTACTTGAAGTGCCTGAATTAGCATCCCTTCCTTCTCTTCAGTGTCATTTACAGTGTCCGTCAATACCACCTTGAGCAGGGGGAAGCAATACGCAAATGCCGGTGCTGCGAGGGGTTTCACGTCTGTGAGAAAGATGGTACAGTAAAGATATTCTGAGCAACAGGACTCAAACTAGGTCTATAGTCATCCATTTCCTCACACTGTGTCAACCTCAAATATGTCCTAACTGTGGACAACAGCAAAGCAAACAGAATTAACTGTTCATGAAAACAGTAGCAAAGGTGACGCAAAGCAATAGCTCGCTTATAAAAAAAAAGCAAAACGACAAAGAAATACCTCCCGAAACTTAACAGAAATAACCCATCGTCAAAATATTGTCAGAGTATGTAAATAAATCATTTCAAAAGGATGTGAGAAAAGTTGGGAGGATGAGCAGAAACCACTAACTCTCCCATCAGGACATACAATTGTATTTTTAAATAATCTTAATTATTTTTTGGTAGATTATTACCAATATTTATCATTCTTTTGAGTAAATGTTTTTCCCTGATATCTATTCTAAATTTCCCTCCCACAATTATCCATTTATACATTATCCTAAAACATCCGTTCCAATCGCAGTGTTCCATTAAGAATAAAAATCATTACAAAAAAAGTTTATCCTTACATTTTAAGCATATTCAGGACAATAAAGACATTTGAATGCAATGTATTCAGAATCTAAAGTGAAAGCCGATTCATTTCACTATCTTGGGAGTGATGCACATTACAGTAACAAAATGATCTCAAGCTCATTTAAATTTGCTTGACTCAAAACACACACCTGACTCAACCTTGCCACTGCGGCTGGGGACAGTGCGTGAACGCAGCATACACACGGCACGGGCGGTGGACGTCAACACATCTTCCTGACCCCAAGCTTCATCCAAGCAGCACTCAGGCTTCAGCACCCGAAGGGTCACGTGTCCGATTAGGGAACCTATTCAACACAAGAGACAACGGATGCTTCAGATTGCCCACGTTCGACCCCAGCCTGGGGCACAGAATGAGCCAAATGACTGATGCATGTGAGAAGCCACATTAAGACAGCAACGATAAGACGCTGGATAATACTCTATCTGCTGTGCGCAATTGGCTGCCGCGTTTTGGCCACAAAATATATAGCCACCCGAAGTGGTGGTTGGGATCAGGAGGGCAGGGGTTGAAAGGTAACTGAAGGCTCGCAGCCAGTAACCATTATTTGGTTCAGACATTGAAGTTCCCACAACAGAATTGATGCTTCTTACCGAGATATTGGAGGTCAGCTGGCATGACACACGCACCCATTGCCAAGAATGGTTCGATTAGCCTGGGAGCCACAAGCGGTGAACTGAAGAGTGGGAGGAACGAGCGAATAAGAGCTGGGATGTGCTTCGACAAATCGGTTGGGTTCCTCTTGATAACTGTGTTTAACACATTCAGAGCAGACTGCAATTCCTCATCCAGCTGTGGAAACACAACACTCATTTCAGTAAATCCGAATCAGGATAAAAGCTAGTAGCGCAGGAATCAGGGTATAGGAGCTAGAAGCAAATTAATTTGAATGCCAAGCCTGCTTGTGGCTGAGTTCCTGATTTAACAGTTAATCCACGAGATGAAGCCAGCAATTCCATTTCAAGGAAAGGAAATAAATTGGCTTCAGTTTCTTCTATCTGACATGCACCTTCTGTTAAGACATCAATCTGAATTTCTTAATTTGTCAAAAGCCCTTGAAAGGATTATAAATGCAGACACCTACTGACTAGTTTGCACTGAACTTGCACACTTCCTCATCTCTAGAATCTGGGTTGAATCCAGCGCAGGAAGATGGACAAATTCTTGTGTTTTTCTTGGCTGTTAGGATCCTTTATCAAAACTGCATTGGGCCACTGTGGGCATTCAACATAACATTGCCTATATCTGGACCCAAAGATCTTAATGACTGCTCCAGTATGGAATGCACTTCTGAGGCTGGGGCACATTGACATGGAGTCCTGTAGCTTAGTGGTTCGAGCGCTTGCCTCACAAGTGAGAGAACCCGGGTTCGATTCTCGGGCAGGGCAAGAATCTGCCCGATTCTTAGGCAAGTTTCTTTACTTCACACGCCTCTGTTTACCGAGCAGTAAGTAGGAACCCGGTTGTAGTCGATTGGCGGATCGCTTTTCCGGGGGTAATATTCCCTCCAAAAGAACAAAAATTGGTCACTCACTCCACGACTGTTTGTGGGACACTGCTGCCGCATTTCGGCCACAAAATACAGTCACTACTCTTTACAGTATACAATATGTTCTGTGAAGTGGTTCAAGACGTTTCAACAACGTAATAAGGCGCTATATCAAATGTAAGGATTATTATTATTAATGGGCAGAGTAGAGGCAGGGTTTTTTGGCAATCAGCTATGGTATAGCAAATCTGGGAGTCGAGTGTTTATGTGTTTCATTCTTCAGAACCAATTTGCATCTTGATAAGCACAAAAGATACCACCAAACACACTGCCTGGCCTCGGCTACCTGCTGTAGTTTCTTCCTGATGGCGCCCTCCCTCTCCAGCTGAGTCTGTAGCATTTCTTTCTGTTTCTTGCTCAGTTGCACCTCCTCTTTCAGACCCTTCTTCTTTTTTAGCTCCTGTTGCAAATAGTGGTACAGATCAAAATCAGCACGGCAATGACTCAGACCCGTTACAAACTATTTGCTCAAGTCAATAATGCATTCAATGTAGTCAATTCATTTTACAGTATATCCTGTGAAGCGCTCTGAGATGTCTCGAAGATGTGATAAGGCGCTATATCAAATGCAAGGATTATTATTATCTATGCCTTGTTTGCAACAAAAATGATGCTTTCAACTTCACAGCTTGCACCACTTCGTAAAACAGCTTTCTGCAATGTAAGTACAATGCAATACACAGGAACCAGGAAAAGTCAGTGTTCCGTGGAAGTATTGAACAAGTTAGGCTTTAAGTTCTGTGAATATTTCCTTCATAAGATCACTGCAGAAGGTTCTATGGATCAACTGATCTCAGCGTTCGAGAATTATTCAACGCCATCCAAACTGTCTTCCATCACAGCATTTCTTACAATGAACAAAAGGTAAAATACAACAACATCAAAATTACATTTGTATAGCGCCTTTACTGCAGATGCTGGAAGTCAGAGATTAGAAACAGAAGGGGCTGGGAACACTCAGCAGGTCAGGTAGCATCTACAGAGAGAGGAAAGAGAGTTAACGTTTCAGGTTCTGACGAAAGGTCGTTGGCCTGAAACTTTAACTCACTTTCTTCTCTCCATAGATGCTGCCAGACCTGCTGAGTGTTCCCAGCCACTTCGGTTTTTATTTCTTAGAATGAGTTGTTTTCTGGCATCATCACCCTTCCTTGTAACTAGCCCGATTGCTGATTGCTCTCTCTGTGAACAAACATTACCATGTGTCTATTCTCAACTTGCCCCTCACAACCCTCTCTTGTCCTTGGCCTTAAAGCATCTGAAAATATTTCTCTGGGTCTGTCCTCTCTCAAATTGTCACAGGATTTAAAGTACCAATGAAAGCTAGTGTCAAAAAAGGCAATGCAGAAACTAGAGAAATGAACAATTCTAATTCTGGTTTCCAACCTCTCTGGCATGTTCGACACAGTCGACCACGCCATCCTCCTCCACCTCCTTTCCTCCCGCACCCACCTAAGTGGGACCACACTCGCATGGTTTGAATTCTACTTAACCAACCACCTTGGCAAATGGTTTCTCCTCCTGCCCCCGCCCAGTCACCTGCAGGATTCCCCAGGGCTCCATCCTTGACCCACTTCTCTTCCTCATCTATATGCTCCCACTGGGCGATATCATCCGGGGTAAATTTCCACATGTATGCGGACGACACACAAATCTCCTTTGCCTCCTCCAGCTTCGACTCCATTCAGCCACTACGCCCTGAAACTCTGGAACACTCTCCCTCAATCCCTCCGCCTCTCCTCTTTTTCAAGTCCCGTCTGAAAACCTTCCTTTTTGACCGTGTTTACGATCACCTTCACCCCTCCCACCACCCCCCCACCCTGCCTCAAAGTCAGGCTCCGCCACTGTTAAGCGCTCTGAGACACTACCCTGAGTGGAGGGCACTCTTTAAGTGCAAGCTGTTGTTATAATCGCTCGCCCATGCTAGATTGACAGTTTTGTGGTCAATGCAGACACAGCAGGTGAAATCATTCTCCAAAATGGTATCAGTCACGTTTTGAAATCATTAATCCCAAGCAAAACAAACTAAGAATTGGGACAACAAAAAAACAACTTATACAGTAATTGGAAAATGCTGTTTGTTCATTGGGGCAAATAATTAAACTCCCAATTACCTCTGTTAGTTCCAGGTCGATGATTTGCTCCTTGAAGGAGTAAGCCTTGTTTTCCCGTTTCATATTGCTTTTCTTTGCAGTTTCTTGTTGGGTGCTAACACAGAATAGAGAAATTAATTCAGGGAGACGGTGGAAGCAGAAAATGCCATTTGTTTCAAGAACAAATGAGACAGATTTCTGCCAGAAAATAATATCCGGGGATACAGTATATAGTTTGGGACACGACATGTCAAACGACTGCCAGGTTGGTGGAAGGGAAACTAAACTAGATGGACTTGTCTTCTTTCTTCAGCAAATTCTTATGTTCCTAAGAAACATTTCCAATGTGCTTCGGTATAGTGACAGATTATACTACTTATTGAAGGAATGGCTGCCTTTATTTAGTGTAACTCAGGTTCACCCATTAGCCATGCCAACATGACCTCAATGTAAACTGGTGCGCAGGACTGCATGTAGTATTGCGAGCAGGGCCAGATGATAAACATTGCCGTGTTTGTCATCACTTACCTCAGGATGAGGGACTTGTCATGTAGTTCTCCCTCGGGAGTCTGCAGGATCTCAAACTCTTCTCTCGTCACCAGGTGTAAAGCCTGCTTCCCCAACATGCTCGTGACCAAGTTGCTGAGACGGGGCAACACATATCCTGAAGCCAGTACCGCCATTGAGCCCATAGCATTCAAGGTAGCCTAGAAGACAATGGTAACAGCAGCAGCAAAGAGCTACTTTAACACTTTATGCAATGTACTCAATGTACCTTCAGCCTCTACGCCCCAAAACTCTTGAACTCTCTCCCTCAATCCCTCCGCCTTGCCCTCTCCCACTCCATCTTCAAATCCCGCCTAAAGACCTTCATTTTTGATCGAGCTTACGGTCATCTCCTCCACCCTCGCCCCCAGGCTTGAGGTCAGACTCCACCACTATCAAGCGTTCCGGGACGCTACCCCACGTGAAGGGCGCTGTGTAAATGCAAGTTGTTATTGTTGGTAGTAAATGAAAAGGGCAGATAATATTTTCTGAAAGAAATTCATATTCAGATGGAATATTTTTCCTTGACGAAAGGAAAAAACACTTGGGCACAAATTATTCTCCTAAAAAAACAGACTTTTTCTGGATCAAGCTTCAGGATATCTGGAAAGCTGCAGAATAAATAATAAAATGGATGCAAGCCCCAGTAGGTTGGAAAATAAAATAAAGGATAGACCAGGTAGGATGTTTACATGCAGAATGAACCCGACCAAGAAAATGACACTGCTGAAGGCTTGGAAGACCAGAAATTAGCAGGTTTAAATCCTAGGTCTGTGTCTTTTTGTTGGTTATACTATTTGATATCATTCAGAATTTTGAGGAAACAGAGGGGAATCCATGATGCTGAATGTTGTTTATGGTTTGTGGATGGAGCAGACTTGGATAGATAAATAGCATTTTCTTAATTCCACATGTTCTTATATAGATTAAAGCAAAGCTACTCATTGAGGCAGCTACTTATAACAACTTGTAGCAGGCAGCAGTGGCAAGTAAACTTATGCAGCACAGGAAGATGTGAATCACATGAGATACCTTAATACTTTTACCAAAGAGCAATTATAAAGACAATTTTCTTGGGATTGCCTAGTTTGACTGCACCAATCCAGAAATAAACTGACTGAGGAACAATGGAGGTATTTCACCACATCAAAATGTTAATAAATGTGAGCTGTGGAACTGATGGAGAGAAGGCTGAATGGTCTACCCATATTATCATCATCTATTATTTGTGCTAACAGCACAGATTCACAGATCAACTTGATATCAGCCTCAATGAAACACCACCTAATACCAAGTTGTCCACATACTCATATCCTACCTCCTTTTCCATGTGATAAGGGCCTGGTTAAGTTCAATTTTGTCAGTATCAAAGGTTCAATGTGTGAACCTTTCTAACAGTTAATTTATGTGACCTAACGATCAAACTCACCTGATCCCTGGCTGACTGAGAGCCTACGCTGGGCAAGATTTCTTCCAAATATTTCTTAATGAATTCACGAGGGTCCAACTTAAGCCGTAAGAGAATCGTTGACCAAAGTCCAACATGGGCAACCTCTGCAAAGAGCAAAGCAGATAATCCTGGTCAGGTAACAACAACATGCATTTATATATTTATTCATCCTCTTCAACCTGTACATGTTCCCTCTTGGTGACATCATCCACAGACATGGGGTCAACTTCTACATAGCGCCTCAGTCACTGGCAGTATCAGCATCCACGATGCACATTCCACCTCACCAAGCCAGTCAGGAATCTAGGCATCTTGTTCGACCCTAAACAGTCGTTTCTCCGACATCCATGCCATGACCCTCTCTGCCTTTCCCACCTCCACAACATTGCCCGACTCTGCCACTGCCTCACCCCTCAGGCCACCGAAAACCTCATACATGCCTTCATTGCATCCCTTACCCCACCCCCCCAACCCGCTTGGATCCTAATTCCTGACTGTTCAGTGCCTTAGGACGCCTTCCTGATGTGAAAGGCTCTTTACAAGTAATTTTGTATTGTATATAGCGCCCTTCATGTAGGGCACATGTGGGAGTGAGTTACTTGGAGGGAGGGGGACACTGAGCAAGGGATTCATTTAAAGAGCTAGGATTTGAAGCAGAACTTAAAGACACAGAGACGGAGTGGTAGAAGGAGGGAGTTCCAGAGGTTAGGATTGTAGGATGCGAGGCTCAGCCACTGATGGTGCCAGGGGGAGGGGACCCAGGTGCAGCAATCACGAGTTAGCTAATGTAAGAGAAGTTGTGCAAATCTGGGAGAATTGGGACTTAACTTCATTGACACTTTCCCCATCAAATTAAGCTGCATCCATTATAGAATAAACTTGACTAAGGCAGCAACAAGGACTCTAGCTCTTTAAGAACATGTCAGGGACACATAGCCTTGGCCATGACACTCATCATCCTATCTGTGCAAAAGCTCACGTGACTAAGACGACCTATACATACACTTACGATAGAGATTCCCATTAAATTATCCGAAGTGTAATGTGTCAGTCACAATCCAAATGGATGCTGCTCATAAACTAACAGATGTAAAAACAATAACTGATATCACCACTGAACATTCGCCACTAACAAATGCGATTTGCTACAGTGTGAACCAGTACATACGAGGATATATAAGTGCCTTTAAATACACTTTTAATACTCTGTAACTAAATGCTCCAAGGAACATGCAGTTGAGCATGTTGGACACACTTATTTTTAGCAGCATATCAATTGTGTTGCCTTTGCCTCTGGTCCCTTTAGACTGTCAATTGGAATTTATCCAACCAAGTTATCAAAATCTTTCAGATTCAATTTATAGAATGCAATGACACAGTGAGCACTCAGTTACCTATGGAAGGATGATGTGCCATAAATAGAATCTCTCTGGCTAATCTCTCTGCTTCACGGACATCAGTCTCCAACCCAGGAATACTTGTTATCACACTTAGTGCTTCCAGTAGCATACGTGGTGGGATATAAGACTTCCCCGTTTCCGTTGGCTCACCGGTTTCCGTCACCAACAGGTCAGGAGACATCACCTAGTCAATTCAGCAGAAAGCAAAATTATTTTGATTTGTCAATTAGCAGAGCAGAGGTTAAATAAGAGTGGAATATCTCAACAGGGTCCCTGTGGATTGCTAACTGAATGTGAAGATCATTCACATGGTATAAGTTTCAAATAATAAGCTTTGTATTTGACACAGTATCTTTTGGAAGGATATCTCCAAGAGTCTCAGTGGATTCATTGTAAGGTCAGTCATTAAGTATTTTTTTCCAGATGAACTTAGCAGCAATAGTCCCACAAACAGCCACAAATCTAGTAACCAGATTTATCTGGGAGATTGCAAGCCAGGACACCGGAAGAAACTCCCTTCTCTTTTTGAACAGTGCAATGGGATATTCTTCTTGAATACCTTCTTGAAGATCTCTGTACAAAGCCTGCACCCACAAGTCATTTGATTTTTTTGGAAGAGAGAGAGTTTTTTCAGTAGAGAAGAATCAAAGCCATCAGCTGGTAACAGGGAAAGGATCCCACTCACAGCGAGGATATGCTTCTGACACAGTGCAAAACGGAGAGCCACGGAGTTCAAATCCAAAAGTTTTGAATACTTGGGGGTAATCCAGTAAGGCTAGCCTTGGTTTAAACCAGGATAAGGTACGTAAAAGCAATCCCCACTTTTTGTATGTTACATTAACATTGAAATCCCTTAAAAAAATTTGGTCACTTAATCCACGAATGTTTGTGGGACTCTGCTGTGCGCAATTGGCTGCCACTTTTCGCCCACAAAATATACAGTCAATTCGCTTTACAGTAAAGGGCTTTGTGACGTCTCGAAGACATGATAAGGCGCTATATCAAATGCAAGATTTATTTTTATTGCATAAGCGGTAAAATAACAGTTTGTTCTAACTCTCTTGAAATACATTACAAACCTTATGGGAACTAAGGACAACTTTGAGTTCCTCCAGCAATCCATATGCTAGTTTAACACCACCCAGAGATGAGAGCAATTTCCTGACCATCTGCTGCGCTTGCTTGCGAACCCGCCACGTTTTATTCAGCAGTACCGCGACCAGGGCTCTGTGATACATCCTGTAAATAGCACAGATCACACATTCTGGAGTGAGGGCATGTGTCATCCATCACGTTATGGCATTCAGTAAACAGATTTCTTACATAATTAGGACAAGAAACAGATTAGCATTAGTCAATTCATACAAATGGAATATAATATTTAAAAAAAACTTAATCAGGTAGTTTCAGGGTAATCTCATTATACCCCCCACACACCCATTATAGCGCACTTTTGCTTACAGCAACTAGTAACTAATAGTAACTATGAATCCAGGGCTGACGAGCAGACTTTCCACACTAAAAGGCTGATTTCTGATTGCCAGTTTGCCACTAGCGTTCCTGTGCACTGCTTATGAACACAAGAAGCACCACACATGTCATTTTACGAAGGAAATGACATCAGCGGCCAACCTGACAATCCCAAAGCAGCCATTTTTCATGCTTGGTTTAAGACATGACCCAGAATATAGAACAGGATCGCCCTATGTTTATTGAAATGAATACAACAGCTAGAAAGTTATTCCATTTGCAACATTATTGGAGGCGGAGATTGTTAACTGGAGCTAAAGAAAATATTTTTTTGAGTCATCAATTATCCCAGAAACCGTCACATCATCGCATTCAGAAACAATGCAGCTCTTGCACTGTGCCATCATATGTAACTGAAGTCCTGCAGCTGCTCATACTCTATTTGAAATACACATTGAGATTGGAGGGAAAATGAAACGTCCTTCTTTACAGACTTCTAACGAAGGAAGGAGATTACCTCAAAGTGCATCTAAGATTGACCTCTGACCTGCAACGAGTCAAATTGGAGTTTCTCTAGATTTATGGCACTCCGAGGTCATTCATGGTACAATATCTGGATTGCAGTCCATGTATCACTCTGTTGTTTAGGTGGGAATTTTCATGCAGAGAATGCAGCAAATGGTAAACATGCAGTGGGACATTATATGTGAATGAGAGTTTGATACGTACTGGCCCTTGATTTCCGGGAGGTCGGTAAGCAGTCTCTCAGTTAGCTGTAATATTGTGCACAGCGCTGTAGAGAAAAGAGAAATAATCAGTGAAAGGACACGATCAGGATAGAGTGTGCTCAACCCACAACCACTCTCCATTAACATACCATCTCTCTTTTCTCCAATCTATTTACATAGGAAACATTAAGTAACTTGCCATTCTGTTTGTCACATCCAATTACACAGTCATTCGGACACCCTGACTCACCAGAGGAATCCTCCGATTAAACCAAATGTAATGAAATCTATACAGAAAAATGATGCTGAAAATCTATGGCACTGGCGGAAACCTCAGCTTATCACTCACCTTCCCCAGACGCGACAGAAAGGAATTTCTCTGAAGTGAAAAACTGTTTCTTTTCATCTAAAACTAACTGCCAGAAAGTAGCCAGCTTCGGTTCTGAAGGAAGTAAAGAAAAACAGAATGAAAAACTGATTTCCAGGTCACTTTAAAAACACAACAAGCCCTCACAACACTGTCCTCCATTAAACCTCCCTGACATCCCTAGTTGTTGGCTGAAGAAGCCACTCCTTCAAGAGGGGAAGATAAATGTCTTTGATGCATTTGACAATCTCTTTGTTGCAATCAAATCATGATCTATATACAGGGTGACCAAAAAGTCTTATTTTTCAGCTATTATTTAAAAAAAATCTTTCATCATCATTTCTTTAAGACTTATTAGACATTGTATTGGTATCACAACTTTTTGTGGTGCCATACAAGCCATGTCAGGCACCCAATGAAGACTCAACAAAAGCCTAAACTAACTGTATGCAGCTGAACGCAACACCGACATTACTTACTTCTGTGAAACAAGGCAACTACTTACCAATCTGTGCTTCCACCACAGAGAGCCTGCAGATCAGAACAGCCGCAGCAACACCTTCTGATACTATGGCAACCTGGCTACTCTGGGCTGCCACTTTGTCCACTGCCTGGAGCAACAGCGGCAACAGGTCCAGTGCCTGGAGTAAAGTGTCACCTGTTTGGGTGTAAATAATAATAATAGTATAGAATAAGCCTTACATTTGATTCAGCGCCTTATTAGGCCAACCACCCCACTCACTGATCTCTTCCCAAATGATGTGACCTCAGTAAATCCCGACCCAAATATTGGGCAGCAGATTTAGGTTGAGATGAATTCTCAGATACAGAAATATCCAGTTAAGAGAGGGAGGAAGTATATTTACAATGGAATCAAACAAGACCTGTCCTGACTGTGGTTCAAGAGCTACCATTCTAGTCTGGTTCCCCATTCACAGCCCCTCAGTGCTGCATCTCAGCTCAGTGGTCACGTACTTTACGTCTCATAAAATTCTGCTGGGACATAACATTAGGGAGTGCACTCCGCTGGTGGAGGAAACTACCCAGTAGATATCTGCTCAGGATTCAGGATGGGAATTCCCATGCCACAGAACTCTTATTATTACTACAGAATCTTTAATGGCTGTTTGTTTCATGAATTTCAAATCAGCTTTGGATCCTCCAGAGAGGGAACAGCAAAAACATGACATAAAGAGACATTGTGGGGGGTGGGTCACTAACTATGTTCAGGAAAACATAAGGCTATCATACTCACCACGGAAGGAAGCAAGCATACACTGTAGGTACGCGTGGCGAATGGCAGAAGTAGAGGTTTTCAGAGTGAAGGCCTTCTTGAACCATTCTAGCAGATGTTTAGGAACCTCAGTGGTAAACTTGTTGCACCAGAGGGTAAGGACGGAGATGGTGTGCAGGAGTGTACCCTCGTGAACTGCAAGAAGAAAACAAGTTTTGAAAGTGCAAACAGTACAGGCAACTTGTACAATAATTGCTGTGTGCAATTGGCTGCTGTGTTTCCCCCACAAAATACGCAGTCAATTCACTTTTCAGTATATTCTGTGAAGCGATTTGAGACGTTGCGAAGACGTGATAAGGCGCTGTATCATATGCCAGGATTTTTATTTTTATATTATTATTATAATAAGACATCTGTTTGGTTGATTGTCAAATTCTCGGTTAAGACATTTTCTTTAGTTTCTTTCTTAAAAGAAAGTTTTTGTAGCTATACAGTAAGGATAAACCTGTGAAAAAAAATCCCTGAAATCAATATATTGTATACAGAAAGCGGGTCAGTGTCTCACTCACCTTCTTGCTGCAGGAAGTGGATGAACAGCTCTGTGACTGTACCGCTCAGGGTTTGACTAGATGCACCAGTGACTGTATGGTAACTGCAGTTTCCAATCCCTGTACACAGAAACAACCAGTAACTAACACAATTCTGCACTCTCTGTGTTTCATGGGAGAATGACATGGTTTGCACTTCTTAGCTTCAGTTTGTAACCGAAAGTTTCTCCTTGTGCTAGGAAGTGTGCATGGCTGAGTCATCCGTTGAGCATTAAATGAAGCTCTGGGACGCTACCTCATGTGAAGGGCGCTATATAAATGCAAGCTGTTGTTGTACTTGAGACCTCTTTAGACATGAAACTGGCTTCTCTTGAGATGAAGGAAGGCCTTAACTACTTTATAATCAAAAGAATAAATAGCACTGTATGTAGAAGAGACAAAATTATGAAACCTCAACCAAAAAAAACTTAAAATCCACTAAAATATCTCGAATGTCAATTTCAACATTTTGTGCATCAGTTTAAAACAAAATTGGACAGGAACTTGCTGAACAGGTGGAATCAAAGCTGTACTTCTTTAAATGGGTTAAATTAATAGAACAAAAGAAGATGGGAGAACTTCATTTTAAAATGATTTCACCAATTACCTGACAACACGCTCATCTTCTGAGCAGCAGTAGTCAGTTTGCCTTCAGAACCTAAAGGAAAGAGAAAACTTGCAAGAAATTGACTTTCACCCAAACATGGTCACAAGTCAGTCACCCAAAATACCAAACGCTAACCATTTCTTGGCAACTGCCCTTTTACTGGTCCTTCCCATTGTCTGCAATCTACATAAATGCCTCCCATTTAATTACGATGATTACATTGGAAAATTGCATGGGCACCTCGACTGTCCACATGTCAAATTATCCATATCGTGCAGTTCAAAGTAAGTGCGTTTATGCCCCCTTTTTTTTAATGTGCATAGTCTTGGGTTAGAGAGGGAGGGAGAAGAGAGTGAAAGAGTCAGAGAGAAATGCTCACAGAGAAAGATAGAAATTTAGAGTTATAAATAATAATAATCCTTGCATTTGATATAGCGCTTTTCACGTCTTCTCGACGTCTCAAAGCGCTTCACAGAATATGCTGTAAAGTGAATTTACTGTATATTTGTGGGCAAAACGCGGCAGCCAATTGCGCACAGCAGCGTCCCACAAACAGTCGTGGATTGAAAAAGACCAATTTATTATTGCTTTATTTTGGAGGGATTATTATTAGGCGTGTTACACAGGGAGAGACACAGATAGAGAGAAAGCAAGAGGCAGCGAGAGTAGGTAGTTGGGAGAGTAAGAGAGTGAGAAAAAGTGAACGAAAGAGAAAGGCAAGGAGAAAGAGAGAGAGAGGGAAGGGCTAGCCTAGTGTACTCCGGTACGATAGTTAACAGTACAACCCTGATAAGAGGTTTTGTTAGTATTCCAACTAATTTGTGTTTTTCCCAGTTCTCGAACTGCAATGTGGCTGATCCCAACTAGTGTGGATGACACGCTGTCCACCGTATTATTTCACTTGCGACTGTATTAGAACTCTGTGGTAATAACACAGAGTCTTACAACATTAAATTAAATAAATTAGCACAAGGAAACATGCAGGGCTGTTTTAGAAACATTAGCTCTTCTTTCTTTCCAACATCGACATCCTTTCCAACGCTGTTTTGTTGGATTTCTCTTGTACCTAAACTCACCCCCAAGAACTGCGAAGAGGTGTCTGACAAGTGATTCAACTGCAGCTGGATCACTGCACTGGTGAGTCAGGTTGCGTACAGCCAAGGCTGCCTCATCCATCAGCTGGGTATTGTTGGACTTCAGCTGGCCTAGAAACAGAGAAAGTGACTGTGAATTTGGGAAACAATCAATAAAGGATGAATTCTAAAGAAAATTAACTCAACTGGAACAGAAACAAACATTCCTTTTAGTTCCAAACTCTCTGGTGCACATATCCTACACATATTTTTGGTTTACGGATTATACCTCAGTTGACTTGTGCGGTTAAGAATACCGATATCTGTAGGTTTCCACTTACTAGGACGGTCAGCAGAACACAAATCACTCCATGACATTGATTCACACTTACTTGCAAGGCCTTTGGAAATGTCCATTGCATACTGACTGAGGTCAAGGGTTACTGACGATAGCAGAAAGGAAATGGCTGCAAAAATAAACCAAGTAAGTAGTTGGCATCGCTTTCCTTAAATATAAATTCTAGTTCCAATGTAAGGACCATCAGTGTCAATATCATATACATCATCATTATATGATTATTATTATTATCACCATCATCATGAATAGGTGTGCACATTCCATCACAATAAAGTATATATAGGCCAAATGCATTCTGGATTTTATATATTTGGGCTGAACTGCAATAAAGGTGCATTTTTTTTTGTAACAGAGCATAAAAACTAAGCAAGTGACAGGAATGGAATTAATGATCCAAGTGTTAGGATTGTACTTACTCTCGATAACATTCTCAGGGCTGCGCAAGGTAGATTTGTTTAGAGTCGGGAGCAACAGATCCTTAAACTGCTGATGTGAAACATGACGGAGCAGCGGTTCACACCATTCCTGCAATCAACAAGATTAACAGCTGGTTGGAGCTCAACAACAACAAAACAACAATAAAATGACATTTATAGAGCGCCTTTCATGTCGGGAAGACGTCCCAAAGAGCTGAACAGTCAGGTGTCGGGGCCCGAGCATGGGGGAGGGGTTGTGTAGGGGTGAGGGAAGGCAGAAAGGTGGGAGGGAGACCAAAGGCACGGTCGAAGAGAAGGGTCGAGACCGACCTTGAAGGAGGCACGGGAGGAAGCGAGGGGACCGTGAGGGTCCGGATGTGGGGGAGGAAGGATAATTGGGGGTCGAACCTGACGCGTACGGGTTCAGAGAGTTTTAGGGGGAGGTCGGGTAGGTGGAGGAGGTGAGAACCTTGAGATTTTAGACGTTGACGAGAGCCAAAGCGTATGGCTTCCATCTTGTCAACGTTCAGCTGAAGGAAGTTTGTGCTCACCCAGGCCCTGAGGTCTGACAGGCAGCTGACAGAACATCAGGGCACTGGGGGTCGCAAAGAGAGATGGAAAAATAGAGTTGGGTGTCATCTGCATATATGTGGAAATGTACCCCATGTCTGCGGATCACATCCCCAAGAGGGAGCATGTAGATCAGAAAGAGGCGGGGGCCAAGGATGGATCCTTGGGGTACCCCACAGGTAACAACTGGGTGAGAGCGGGAGAAGTCGTTTGTGCAGATGTACTGCTGGTGGTTTGTGAGCAGGCCGGAGCCTGATGAATGGAGGGAGCGGGCAGGTTGGTAGGGAGTCAGCAGATCAGAGAGGTAGGAGGGGGCAAAGCCATGGATGGCCTTAAAGGTGAGGACGAGGATCTTGAACTCAATCCTCTGGGGGATGGGGAGCCAGTGGAGTCGGGCGAGGGTGGGAGTGATGTGGTCACGGAGTCTGGTGCGTGAGAGTACACGAGCTGCAGAGTTTTGGATGATCTGCAGCTTGCAAAGGGAAGAGTTGGGAAGGCCGATGAGGAGGGAGCTCCTGTAATCCTCCAGCGCCTTGGGACGTCCTCCTGACGTGAAAGGCGCTTTATAAATGGAATCTTGTTGTTGTTGTTGTAATCGAGCGTTGATGTGACAAATGCGTGGGTGAGGGTTTCGGCAGCCTGAGGGGTGAGGCAGTGGCGGAGTCTGGCAATGTTGCGGAGGTGGTGGTAGGCAGTGCCAGTCATGGCGCAATGTGGGGGAGAAAAGACAGTTCAGCGTCAAACAAGACACCCAGGTTCCTGCCTGGCTTAGTGAGGATGAGTGTGCAGCTGTGGAGGCTGATGCTGCCAGCGCCCGAGGTGTGGAGGGGCTGGCGTGAGCCAATCAGAAGGGCCTTGAATCAACACATTCTGCACTAAACTTACTACAACAACTTGCATTTACATAACGCCCTTCATGGGGGGTATTGTCCCGGAGCACTTAGCACACATTGCACGGTAAGTGCTTTATAGTTCTGTTATGGAAACGTGCACAAAGCACGTCCTTATAATGGCCTCAGTTTTATTCAAGAATCTGTGCGGTAAATAATGAAGAAAACTGTCTTGAGACAAACCTGAACAAGTTACAGTATCAATGGCTACTATGTCTACACTATGAACAGCAAATTCAGCAAAAAAAAACACATCTGAGAAAACCATGCACTCGGTCCTTTACTAAATAAATTCCTATAAGTCTTGAACTTGTGTTAAAACTGCAGAACTGCTCACCAGAAGGTGTTTCGGAGGCTTGGATTTGCTCATCAGGACAGCCTTCACGTAGATATCTAACAGTGCATCCTGCAAGACAAGGAGACAAATCAGAAATTTTCCAAATCAGATCAATGATCCAACTTGAAAATACATTCCAGATTTCAGCGTTCGAACCTTCAGTCTATTGAACACATCCAGCGCAAGCAGTCAGCCTGGCTCAGTCAGACGCGCTCTCAAATCGGAGTCAGAAGGTTGTGGGTTCAAGCTCCATGTCGGGACATGGAGCCCATAGCCTATGCTGTCACTCCAATGCAGTGGTGGGGGGTGCTGCACTGCTGGAGGTGCTGCCTTTTGGATGAGACATTAAACCGAGGTCCTGTCTACCTGTTCAGGTACACGCTAAAGAACCATGTCACTGTTTGAAAATTGAGGTAACTTGTCCTGGTGTCCTGGCCAACAATCCCCCATTAAACATTAGTTATTCACTTTATAGATGTGTGTGGGACACTGACGTGCACAATTGGCTGCCACGTAAGCAGTCCCTACGCTTTCCAGTACATTCTGCGAACAGCTTTCAGAAGTCCTCCTGATGTGAAATATGCTTCATGAAATGCAAGTATTATTATTATTATGTCACATCAATAATTGTCAAGGAGTTAAACAATTCCCATTCAGTGACAGGCTGCGTACAGTGACAACACCAGCATCTTCTTCCAGGAGAGGTTGTCTCATGGGAATGACCAACTCCAGTTTTCAGGAACAATATTTTTCTCACCAGATCCACCATTGGCTCTAAAAGAACCTCATCAGTATTGCAGAGCCGCTGTGTGAAAATAAGTGCCGCCCATTCCTAGTGAAGCTTTGACTTCAAGAAAGTTAAAGCTTCACTAATCAAAAAAGCTTTGTAATCAAAAAGGCGAATGGACTGTTGGCCTTTATCTCAAGAGGCCTGCAATACAAAGGGGAAGAAATGTTGCTTCAGCTGTATAGAGCGTTAGTCAGACCCCATCTGGAGACTGTGTTCAGTTTTGGGGTGCAGTGCAGTTTAACCAGAATGTTACCAGGCCTAAAAGGATTAAGTTATGAGGCTGAGGGGTGATTTTAGAAGGCTGAGGGGTGATTTAATTGAGGTGTTTAAGATGATAAAGGGATTTGATCGGGTAGATACAGAGAAGCTATTTCCTCTGGTGGTGGAATCCAAAACAAGTAAATTGATTGTCTTAAAATTGGAACCAGGCCATTTAAGAGAATCAGAAGCATTTTTTCACTCAAATGGGGGTAGAAATCTGGAATTCTCTCCCCCAAAAGGCTGTGGATGCTGTATCCATCCACACCTTCAAGAGTGAAGTTGATGATTGTTGGTAGGTCAGGATATTAAGGGATATGGGGAGAAAGCGGGAAATTGTAATTGAAAGGATTAGTTGAGGTACAGATCAGCCGTAATCTAACTAAATGGCGGAACAGGCTCGAAGGGCTGAATGGACCCCTCCTAAGAGGCAGGATCCAAATGCACGAGTGAGTACACCTGTCATTTAAAGATGCTTCAACAGATCCAGGTTTTAGTAATCCAACACCCACATTGATATCCCATTCTCTGGGATGTCCTCTCACTTCATTAGTAGAAGCTCATCCTGTCTTATCTAGTGTCACATCTTCAGAGGCATCTAGCACTCCTCCTCTGCTAAACAAAACTGAAACGCAAAGTCCAGGCAGCACTGTTACCAGCATAACAGAACACACACACCTTATGCTTGTTGATGGTGGCAATGTCCTTCTGTTCTGAACAGAACTGTAGTAGCACTCCCAACATCCCTAGATATAAGAGGTTTGTTTCTAGGTCCATCACTGTGACGAGGTACTGCTCTGCCAGGCCTGGGTTCTGAAGAAACGAGCAGAAGACAAACAAAGTAAAAATGTTGTCGATAACAAGCTTGTGCGAGTCCTGATACCAGCAAATGGAGCTTTGCTCGTCCATAAAACACACAGTCAATCCACTTTACAGTCAATTCTGTGAAGCGCTTTGAGACGTCTTGAAGACGTGATAAGGCGCTACATCAAATACAAGGAATATTATTATTTTGCTGAGATGCAGAACTTCATCGGGGTTTCTCTGGAAGGCGGCCATTCAATGGAAATTAGATGAGTTAATGTTTTAAGGTCATTCATTTGGACATTACTGCTGTTGAAGTAATGCTGCACTCACCACTCACCACCACATTCAGTGCCACCTTGAGATACTAAACACACAGGTCTGTAATAAATAACAATAATCCTTGTATTTGATATACAACAACAACATTTCATTTATAGAGCGCCTTTCACTTCGGGAGGACGTCCCAAGGCGCTGGACAGTTGGGTCAGGACCCGAGCAAGGGGGAAAATGGTGAGGAGAGGGAAGGGAGGGAGCGAGGAGGGGGTAGAGAGTCGAGAGGGGAGCTGAAGGCACGGTCAAAAAGAAAGTTCTTGAGACCGGCCTTGAAGGAGGAAAGGGAGGAAGCGGCGAAGCGTCTTATCACATCTTCAAGATGTCTCAAAGTGCTTCACAGGATACACTGTAAAGTAAATTGATTGTATATTTTGTGGGCGAAACGCGGCAGCCAAATGCGAACAGCAGTGTCCCACAAACAGTCGTGGATTGAATTAACAAATTATTATTTTTTGAAGGAATTATTACCCCCCGGAAAAGCAAGTCACCAATCGATTACCAACCAGATTCCTACATACTGCCAGGTAAACAGAGGCGTGTGGAGCAAGGAAACTGTTATATGCGACAAGTATCAAGAATTGCCTGGATCCATCTAAAGTCTGTGGGAACACATTCTATGCCAAAGTAAACTCTCTACACAATAGAGGTATGACCAGGTAGTCAATCCTTGGAGAGATTATAACCAAAACAGCGTAACAAGAGCTAGTGGAGCTCCTACATTTCTGCAACGAACATAAGACCTGCTATGGGTCATAGCCAACCATCAAACCCAAACCTGGACAGAAAACCAACAGCAAAACCTTACACACAACAACTTGCATTTATATAGCACCCTTCACGCGGGGTAACGTCCCAGAGTGCTTAACAGTGACACAGTCTGACCCCGAGCCAGGGGGAGAGGGAGGGGGTAGGTGACCATAAGCACGATCAAAAAGGAAGGTCTTTAGGCGGGTTTTGAAGGTTGGGTGGGAGAGTGCAAGGTGGAGAGTTTGAGGGAGAGAATTCCACAGTTTTGTTGCCTTGTGACTGAAGACACCTCACAAACGACAAGCCTCGATGCATCAATCCTTACTACTCAGGAGTAAGCAGTTAGGCATTATCACCAGGTTTGCTGGAGCATACATCAGGCTAGTTTTACTAACGCTTTATTCAAGGCTTACAAGCAGTCTGTTGTTCAGGAACAAGTCTGGGAAATGCTCCATAGAATCAAGAGGCAGGCGTCCAATTTACAAGACCATCCCATCCACTGTCCGTTAAATACCTCCTTCCCCAACCACGCTCAGCTCTCAACCTTACCTCGTTCCACAGGCGTTTCACTTTCTTTAGGACCCCACGTACAGCGGTCTTTTTGCAGCCACCCAGGACCTCTGCTAAAAGTAGGCACTGCAGCTCCACCTGTGAAGAATGATCACAAAGGTTGACACGAACCCTCCAATGGTTCCATCAGCACCATTGCGCAACTCGTCACAAACTGCACCGTTGCCCTCAATAGAATTCCAGATCTCAGGTTCCCACACGCTCAGTAACACGCTGTCAATTTTAAGTGAATGTCTGTGCTTAATAATTGTTAGTGGGCCGATTGCTCCCAGATGTACCCGATTCTAGAATAGATTTCTCACCGCCTAGCTGAATGGTTTGAACATCGCTCAGGAGCAGGTCAATTAAACAACATGCAGCAAATAGCCACACCATTCAGACCACTTACCAATCGCATCCACATCTCGCCGGCTCGTTTTTCAGGCACTGCGAAGACAGTCTTGACCAGCAGCAATGTCCAGCCGAGAGCCAGGGTAGCCGCTGACCCACTGCTCTTACTGTCGGCGAAAGAGAAAGAGCTCAAGTGAGTGGCTGTGTCATTCTAGCTACTCAAACAATGACCGAGAAAACAACTGCAGTGGAAGCCAATAGATCCGGGTCTCCTCTCATTCTACTTCCTATCAGTATTTGATGGGGAACATTTCAACATTTCAATATTTTTGCAAAATGGATAAAGACGACTATATTCTGTCAAGATGATTTGGCAGGTTTTGCAGATGGCAAAGTCCACTCAAAGTTTGTGGCAGATTTCAGGGAAAAGGACACAGTGTCAAATATTAATACAACAAATGAAAAGCTCCACCTGTTCACATGTAACACACACACACACACATATCCATGACTTTCTCAATTTCATTCTCAGCTTGAGAGCAATCTTCAAAACCACTCCTCACTCTGTCCTCTCAGCCACAGCTACTGCCTCAGCCCTTCCACACTGTCCTCTCCCTGCTGATCCCTCACCAACAACAGTGATCTCGGAAACATTACAATCAAGATGCAGATAATCAAGGTCTCACTGTGTTCGTCTAGAGTTTTCTCTCCTCTTCCTGTGGGGAGCTGCTTGTTTTCCACTTCACAACCGTGAACTGGAAACCAGCTCACCAGGTGGTCAGTTGCTGGCACGGATTGCATAGTAATCATTTTGTTGTGTGGAATATTGGAGCACTCCTGTCTAACACCGCATGGAAGCAAAACTGCGATGAATAAAAGCCATCGTATTACAAGTCTGTGGCTTCATTTGAGCCATTCTCACACTCGTTTTCAAATGACTTCAAGCTCTGGTATCTCCCTACCTCTCCGACCTGCTTACTCCCCAAACCACAACCCACTGCTTCCGCTTGAATGGCTCTGGCCTCCTGCAAGTCCGTCGTGCTCTCCATTCCACCATTGGTGGCCGCCCTTTCAGCCACTATGCCCCGAAACTCTGGAACACTGTTCCTTTATCCCTCTGCCTTGCCCGTCCCTTCCCCATCTTTAGGTCGCGCCTGAAGACCTTCCTATTCAGTCTCCTCCCCACTCCCCCTGGCTTGGCCACTGTCAAACGCTCTGGGACGCTGCCCTGTTGAGGGGTGCTATATTGTTTTTGTTGTTCTGTCCTTTGCCTACCTTGGAATGGCATTCTTACAGATGATTCCCGAGGACTGTAGACACTGCAATAGATGTTTGGTGGTTGCCTCTGGGTGACTCTCAGCCAGTTGCTGAATGACAGACTGCAGGGCTCTCCGGGACTTTGCATCCCTGTCAAACAATGTCAAATCTTTAAATCTGGTGCAGAAGAGAACTAATCCCATCATTTTCCATCAATTTAACTGCAAAATAAAAGGTTGTTAGTGCAGGCTCTATCAGGTTGACATACTTGCCCTTGCACTGTTTTCTATACTCAATAATAAAAACAAATCTTTACATTTGCCTTTCACGTCAGGAAATGTCTAAAAACACTACATGTAAAGATAAATGCAAAGTGTAGTGGCTGTGTATTTTATAGGACAAAATATGGGTCACAGTAACCAGGAAAAGATTGGTGCAATGGGATTCTCATTTAACACTGGGATTGAAGTGAACTCCTCTATCTATCCTCCCTCCCCCTCCCTGACTCTATCTGCCATTCTTTACAATACCTCTATCTCTAGTCCTAAACTGTATAATGTAAAAATATAAAGACATACCTCCACAATAAAGACACATTCTTTGTTTGCATATGTAAGATTGTGCTCTAGATGGTCAGAAACCTTGTATATATGCAACCCTAGAATTTTGGGCAATATTTCACAGGCCCTATCGAACCTCCGGATCAGATCAAGGGCCATGTGGATAAATAGCTGGTGAATAAGCAGTGTTGTACTGTGTTGGCACATGTCACCTTGGTAAGCACAAACAGTGCACCCAAAACAAGTGCAGCAAAAACATTTGTTTTTTTTTCATTTTTCTTCATTTGAACACCACACGAAATGAGGGAATGACTACATGAAAGGTGCAGTATAAGTGCAAGTTTAGGAGCACCCTTATACGATGTTTGTTCCAGACATGCGGGAACAGACTGCAGTACTGAATAATACAACCAATGAAAACCTACATATTCAGCAAGTCTATCTCATATCTCCCTCAATTGCTTGGCAGATTTGGGGGTAGTGTCCACTTTGGCCAAGCAGCCCTTAATACTTGAAAATATCACTTGATCGAAAATTACTGTGACTAACCTGTATCGATGTAGTGTCAGGCATAAGAGTTTGCACAAGCCTTTCACAGCAGAGTCTGGCAGATCTGAAAGGGCAGCAGACAAGCAGGTATCACAAAGTGACGAAGCACGCTGCAAAACCAACAGCAGAGTAACACGCAAGCCATACAGCAACACTGAGTACTGAACCATATTTACTACATAAAAGACTATTGATTAAAGTAAGGTTAAGTACTTTTGGTAGAATTCTCTAAAATAAACGTATCTTCCAGAAATGTTTAGGATAGGAACATCACTTAACTGGGATGAAAGTCTAAGAAGTGCTCGTGTGTTTTACACCTTGAACTCAGCCCCAAATCATCTTATCCCATAAAATGGTGAGGGAGAAAAAGAATGATTATGTAAATATAATAAGACTCAGTAAGGGAAGTGGAGGACTGTGAAATGAATGGCACCTCAAGCTTTCTCACCCTTCATTTTTAAGTGACTGTTGAGCATGACGTTTCACTGAAAGTCAGTAACATTGCTTTCCCCAAAGCTACTGAGTGAAATAAGTGTCATGGGAGACCATGTCCTATGTAATACCAGGTTTCTACTCCAGATCCACACAAATTATGGTCCACTGTCTACCAACTAAATGATCCACTACTGCTTGAAATTGTCTACAAAATAACACACCTTTTTCTTTGACACAGCTGCCCAATTCTGACATGATCTGCCATCTCTCCTTCACACTAGATGTAGTCACCTTGGCAGCAAACCTCTTCAGGGTATCTGACATCTGTGAATCAAACATCGTACTGTCATTAGTCATCTTTCTCATTAAAGCATTCAGTCCATATGCACCCACAAAACTATCCCAGCACAGACCAGCAAATTCTCATCAGCTGCAGGCAGAAGTATTAAGGACCAACTGGCTCCAGTATGAGCCACAAAGGAACATTTTAATCCTTAACATTTTGATCTTTAAAGCTTCTTTAATGCTCATTAGTTATGATAATAATCCTTGCATTTGATACAGCAACTTATCACCTTGTTGACTAGGCTCAAAGGGCTTCACAGGTTATACTGTGAAGTGGATTGACTGTGTATTTATACAGCAGATAGAAAGTGACACTACTTCTCGGCCACCCGCCACCCGCCTGCCTGAGATGATGTCCTGAAATCCAATGTTACTTTTAACTCTCTTTACCACAAGTGACTCTCATTGTCCAAGACTATGAATGAGATAGTAAAAGATCAGTTCAGATTTTCCAATCTGCTTTTCTTTCCAGCATAAACTGGTTCTGAAAATTAATTGTTTTGGAAGAAGTCACAGAATTTCGCAGACCCTGTGGCAGTACGGAGACAGCACTCAGCCATTTCAAATGCCCCTACCTGATCTCTGAGGCCACAAAGGACATTGGTATGTAATATAGCATAAGAATAAAATCTCTGGCCAATGTGAGCAGCTGTGAAATCCTTCCTTTGCATTGCAGCTTCAGAGAAGTGTGCTTTAGGAAATAGCAACACCTTTCTGGTTACCTTCCTGCACTCCCGCCAGAGGTGAAGGCACCACTGACTCTAGCACTGGAAGGTAACAAGGAAAATTAATGCTCAATAAGTCTTGAAACTTGCTCTTCACCTTTCTCTCTCACCCCCCAAAAAGAATGAATATATTGTCTAAAAAGTTTCACCATGATGAAAAACCTTACTCATCCCCAAAATAAAAATGATACAGTATTAAGACACAGAGGTAACATATTACGCCATAGTATTTCAATAACATGGCCAGATAATAAACCAAATTGATATTGCACAGAATTAAAACATTACTACTTCAACTTTAAAGGACATTTGATGCTCTAGAGCTGAGCTCTCAAATTCCACTATTTTGTGTTTTATAAACAGACTGAAAACATCATTCTATGATACTTTAGACACGATGGGCCAAATGGCTTCTTCTGTGCCGTAAATTTCTATCAGCCCGATTCCATTTCCCAATCCTACACAGTATTCTAATGCAGCCACGTAATTCTTTAATCTCATTTTTATGGAATGTCAAACAAAAGTTCTTCTGGAATGCTCCTTTTTTCTGTGATAGAATAACAGAATAAGTACTCGACTTAAACCTATTTTTTGTCCCTGTGCTTCAACATTTCACCCTTTCATTTTAACTTTCAAGAGTTAACTCTTAATAAT